GGGGGGTGCCTTGGCGGCGGGACGCCCACGTCAGCAGGACGTAAACCAGAGCGCCCAGAAGCAGGCCCACCAGCACCGACAAGCAGAAGGCCAGGATCATGTCGCCTGGGTGGAAGACAATGCAACAAACAAAAAAAAAACGGGAATCGGTCCCAAAGAGGAGTCATTAAAAATCAAATTTAACACAGAAAAAAAAAAAATTAAATCTCTTTGGTGGCTTTCCTAGGGTGCTTTGGGATATTGTCCATCTACACTGAGAAGCGCTGTCCGAAGAGTTCTGAAGTATTTGGCCAAATATGAGCAGGTAATGATTCAGGTTTCATTCTGTTAGCAGTAACACATGATGACTAAATGCAAGGGAACCACTTCCATTGGGAGCCGGGTGTCCCAATATTTATGAACCTGACTGTCAACAGAGGAATCAGTGCAAAATACAAATGAACGTGGAAAATTACAAACTACATCGGAAGTAATGCAGTTGCCCTCATCATCTCTTTAAATGACTTGATGCTTATTAATTGTGGGGTTTATGTTCTCCTTTTTTGGGATTATTTTGACGTGATCTTTGAATTTGTCAATGGCGCACACAGCCCACGTGGCTCTGCTGCTGGAGTTGGCATGTTACATCAAACCTTCAATCTCTTCCGCTGCTGTGTGGGTTTAACGTGCTTTGAAAGCTTCAGGATGATTTAAAAAAAAAAAAATCGATTGTCCAAGTACATTTTTGCAGCCCATATGAGCTGCATTTTGGCTATTCGCTATTCGGGCATTGTAGCATTTATGAAATAGTTTGAAGAGGATACCGAACATTTCAAGAAACAAAGACAAAATGGTATCAAACTGTCTATAAGTTTATTCGTAAAATAAGCAGGTCAATAGACATGTTCATAAAGGCAGAAAAATATGTATTGATTTCGTTTCTGGCTGCTGTTGAGAAATGGCTTTTGCTTTGCGTAGTCGAGTTTTATAAACATGAAATCCTTAACTTCCTTGTAATTGAACATTATCCTCAAACGGTTTGGCTATTTTCTCACGCAGTTGAACGTCACAACTGCACTGGAGTCCGGTTTGTGGAAAACGTTTTTTTTAGGACATTTTATTCCCTTCTATTATTGCTATGAATGTGTTTATTTTAAAAATACTGTTTTTCTGAATTTTCTTGAAAACACATCTTCATTTGGCCTGCAACATAGTAGGAGTTTAAAATATATATATTTAAAAAAGGATAAAGGTTAAAATTTCTCCTTCTAATTGTATTTTTTTTTTTTAATTTACTGAAAACCTGTGAACGTTTTTGAGGTACCAAACAAACATTATCGGAGAGTTTAAAATCTCGATTTATAACTTTGGTAGCTGCCAAAAGAAGCAATACGAACTCGCACGGTCCTTGAGGTCAACAGCAAGCCAGCCACCCACCAATTGTTGATTACATTGCACGCATATTTTTTTTAAAAAAAGTCTCCACTAATGAGTTGTTATCTCCAAAACATTTCATAGAAATCATGCAGCAGAGCCGCTCTCACCCGTATTAAAGGATTTGAGGATTTCCACAAGGGGATGCGTTTCATTCTGGGCCATCTTTGCAAAGCGTTTTCCCCCCCGACCTTTAAGAGCAAGCAGCTTCTGCTTCTTGCACGACTTTGTCCAGTCGGTCTGGAGGAAACTTGGCAGTCACGCTTCCTTCCCCCTCTTTTAAAATTAGCATAGCTTATCTACGTAGCGCTGTTTCCCTTTGGCGTCGTTTCCTCTGGATCGATCGCCTCCTTGACGAAACAATCCGCTCCCCCCACCACCACCACCCTCCCCACGGTGACTTTTTTGTTTTATCTGATGCTTTTCTAGCGATTTTCCCTTCATCAAATATGCGTCCGAAAATATTGAAGCCGGTTCATAAATATAAAGCGTCCACCACTGGTGACTCCGCTGGCTATCAAGGTCCCAGTGGGGATTTCCTTCCATTGTTGCTGTTTTCCACTTCACTCCGGCTCCAAACCACAACAGAATAAGCTTGGGAGAACACTCTGTACTGCGACATTGTGTACAATTTGCTTATAACTTCACATTACGTATTGACAAATTACAGGAAATTCACTCTTGGATGGCTTTCTGCGGCCTTCTACCAGGTGTGAAATTTAACAAGCTAGTATCTCGTTTGTTAGCGAACTCGTTTGGCAAATTCCACCTCCATTTTGCCAGATTGTGACATCAATAGTGAGGCTAATGAGCATAAGCGACCCAACGCGAAGTTTCTCAGCTCTCAAGTGGCAGCCACGGCGCAGTTATGTCAAAAAGCCAAATCGTAAACAGAGATTCGTATTAGCGCATAGAATTCATCCGATTGAGCAATTTAGAAAAATGCGTTATTGCTCCCCCTCCCGCCCAAAAAAGGGATCGACTCGCTGCTTGGGTCAATTTGACCCAACTTTCTCAGTGTGTAATGGAACCCCGCGATGGAGTGGGGTTTCCCGTTAACCCTTGACATCCCGAGCAATAAAATGTCGCATAAACATTTTCTTCCAATCCTCATTTTTTCCTCCTTTTGCTTTCCTTCTCTTTCCAGATGCCACATTTGTTCCCTTTTCACTTGTTTTGCTTATTAGTCAAACGTGACTCTTCTGAATTATATTTGGACAATTCCATTGTAAAGTGTCTGTTGTTAAAAATAAAGAAGTAAAAAAAAAAAAAAAAAAAAAAGAAAAGAATCAAATTTACACCGCCTCCTCTTTCCTCCTCCCCATCTCATGCGTTCGCCGCGTTATCATGGAAACCGGGCAACATAACCTCAACTTCCGGTGTGCGAGTTGGCACGAGCTAGCAGAGCGAATCCAAACGCAGTAAGAGCTAAACCTTCACGTTTATGTACTTTTCTATAATGTTGTCGATCAATGTTTTTGGGAGCGTCGAATCCATTCAGGTGTCGTTTGTTACGTCGGTGTTTATGCGCGTAAACTCTACGACGTCATCATTCGAGAAGTTTTTTTTTTTTTTTTAATGGATGCTAGCTAATAAGTTATTTTTTTTTTTTGTTGTTTTTTAATGGATGCTAATAAGTTCGAGCTAGTTCCTCATTAATGGTCAATTTTTAACTAATTTTGCTGTCCTCCAGCATGGTTAAACAACACAGCTCGTTACAGTTGGTGCACCTGTGATCTTTATTATCGTGTATAGCAAAAGTGGCAAAGTACACACACTCAAGTAAAAGTGCAGTAAAAGCAAGAGTGCTCAAACACAAATTCAGCTCCTTTAATAAATTAACTGTGGCATTTTACGATGGAAAAAAAAGTGACAAAAAATAATTCATTAATATCCAGCTGTATTTGCTTTTTATTTTATTTTTGAAAACAAACTTTAATTCCAACCCGGACCTTTTACTGACTTACATCTTTACAAATGTCTGCTTTACTATTTTTTAATTTTTTTTACAATTATACTCATCTTGTTAAAACGGATATATCATTGAAATGAATAACTAGTGACATCAATTTAACAAACATTTGTCTGCCGCAGGCCATGAACGGCGCAGGCACAGGCATTGGACGGTGGAGTCCATGACGTAACTGGAGCATCACAGGCCACGCACACTCACACTCAGACACACACATGGTTCACACACTCTCATACACACACACACTCTCAAAGACAACGTCATGGCTTGTCCGAGGCGTCGTGTCACAGGATGTGCGGACATCGCCAATGTGATGCAAAAACTGCAGGGTGAGTGTCTGTCCAATTATTGACTTCAACTGTGTGTGTGTGTGTGTGTGTGTGTGTGTGTGTGTGTGTGTGTGTGAGTTCTCTTGTGCTACTGCTGCAAAGGGGTGTGCTGCTGATTCAGTGGCTGGGCTGCAGGCCAGTCTCAAGTCTCAAGTCCAGGACACATTAACAGGCAACATCAAAGCGGCTTCGAGTCACTTTTTATCAAAGTGACTTGGTGAAAGCCAGTCCAGTACCTAAAAACTCCTGTTCCAAGGCTCTCCATTTTTATGTTGTTTTTTTTTTTGCGATGCATATTCGGTCCCTGCACTCTCGTCACTTTTTTATCCAAGCGACGTGGTGAAAGTTAGTCCAATACTGTATCCATCATGTCCCGCTCCAAAGGTATCACATTTTTTGCGTACATATTAGCTCTTGACATGCTAACTTTGCCAAGGTACGGAACCTCAGTCTAGTCACATTCTCTGTATCGTTCCAATTTTAGTATATGCGAAGTTCTAGTGCAAGTGACCTTATGACGATCAGTCCAGTTAGTGAAACCTCCAACTCTTCCCTTGATACCCTTCTGTTCCATTTGGTACCATCATGTTCCATTTAATTTCACACTACTTTTTTTTCTCTTTTTTTTTTTTTTGTCTGTTTGGAACAAACGGTTTATAGTCATGTGTAGACAAATGTGTCGTGGTTTTGAATGCAGGCGAGGTTTGCACAGGAAACACAGTCAAAGCAGAAATGGGGCCAGCAATTTGGCACCTCAACCGCAAATGTTTCATAACAGTCACTATGGTGACTGGTCAGTATCGACAAGTGTGAAGTCAACCCTTTGAAAAAAAATTTCTCTCTTCATTCACGGTTGTCATGGTACCTACCGCAGTTGTTTTTGAGACACGCAGTGCACACCCTAGACTGGTCACCAGCCAGTTACATTGACAAACAAGCTTTCATGTTCACATTCACCCTGATGAACACCCTGGCTTCCTGTTTAGCACGGTTCTCAAAAAATGATTAGGCCACGGTATTGGATATATGCTGCACAAATAAACGGAAAAAATCATGAGTAAAGTTTTGTCCCTGTTCGGGAGGGCACGCTAAATTCACGATATGTTTTCCACTAGTAACGGAAGGGAAATTAAGGTAAAATCCTGAGGGAGAAAAAAAAAAATTGAAGAAAAGTGCCCTGTGATTGGCTGGTGACTAGTCCAGGGTGTGCTTTAATCTCGTCCCAAAGAGAACGACCATTCACACTCACTGTTCACGTCATCGATTCAAACCCACACAAGGCTTTCATCACCCCTGCAGTACTCGTAATATACCACGAGATGACAGTGTCGCTCTGCAAACATGACCCGTTTCCCTCTGCATGACTGTCAGGCAGCCTCAAAGAGTAATTTTCCTTTCAAGTTATTCTAGAAATCATTTCCATGTTGTCATTATGAGGATTGTGTGTCGATTTTTGGGAAAAAAATGCGGAAAAAGCGAACTTTATATTCACAGGCTTCACGAGTTATGTCAGCCTATGACATCATCACTCCAGTGTCAGCAACATGTGCCGGACTGAGCGCCATATCTCGGTCCTGGTCTCGAACCTGGCCTCTTCTCTTAGTCAATGCGGGTGAAGAAAGTCAATAGTCATTTCAGAACCAGAATGGAGGCGGCCGTGTGCGACATGACCTTAATGGATCAGCTGAGTGAGTGAGTGAGTGAGTGAGTGGTCGGTCTCATCTGTGTTGTCTCTTAAGTGGTCGATTCCTCTGGCTTGAGCGCCCCGCTGTCTTTTAATCATCACTCCAATATCAATGTCCTGTCGCGTTGAATGAATTCCATCTGCTTGGACATGTTGGTTCAATGATGGGAGATTGGAGTTAGCTACACGCGACGTCCTCAAGGACAACGCCGGATGTTCACGTGCTAACCTCGTCAGGCGCTTCTTTGGCTAATCCATAGCGGATTGAAATATTCTGCTTTTATTATTGCCGTTGTTTTATCAACGATTGCGTGATGAATCTTGGGTACGCAAAAATCGTAATCTAATCACTCTTTTGCGAAACAGTATTTCCTCAAAGTAATATGACTACAAACAAATATTGCGACGATTCGGAGGAAAACTTGCGACATTTTTTAGTAAGTGTACAAGTTAGTTCTTGTCGTGTCACATTTTTTTTTTCTGTTACATGTTTTGTTCTGATATTCAGACGTTTTCTCAGGATTCTTTTCTACTTTATTTTCGGAATACTATGTCTATTCTCGGAGTGTTCCGTTTTTGTAGTTGTTAAGAAAACATGACAACTTTACTCTCAGAACATGACAACTTTTTTCCCCCCTCACAATATTGCCCCTTTTTGAATGTTACAATCTTTCCTTACGTTATATTCCACGTTTCTCATCTTTTACTTAAGTCTTTTTTTTTTTTTTTTTGTAGGCCAGTTGCAGCATCTGTGTCCACAGCACCAATAATAGAATCAGTAGCTCTGATCTATTTTTAGCAGCTTTTAGTTTACCGGTGGTCTTGAAGGAAAAAAACGAGCTCAACGCCGCCACCCGCACCCCCATGCTCCCACTATACTCTGCCACTATTGTGTTCTATGCACAAGAGTAACGTTAAGTAGTGAAGAGAGAATAAGCAAAGCGCGACAGGGGAAATCCCGCGGTGGATGGTCTGGGTGGGGGGCTGTGAGCCGGGGGGGGCTCTTTTGCTGTCACAATGGCAGAGTGCGAGCAGATGGTGCCACATCAATTCATTATTAAGCTTTTGACCTTTGTCTTCAGTTGAATTCAATTTAGCAAAAATGACTCCGGAGACTTCATTCAATGTCACAAAAATAAAATGTGTTCGTTGTAAAATATATGGCCTGTAATCGCTAAATGCAATATCGCAAAAGTATAACACTTCATACATTTAGATTTCTGCATGACAAATGTTCACAAATTACTTTGAAGATTAATATACACTGGAAAAAATGGTGTGTTAAATTTACCTCATTTCATTTCGCATAATTGCCCGACTTATATTGAAACTACTATTATCAAATCAATGCGAAAGAAAATAAAATGAACCTTCTTGCCATTTTAAATTTTTTTTTTAACAAAAGCATTTAGGTATGACTTAGGAAAATATGCTTTAAAATGCTACTGACTAAACTGGAGTATTCATTTTTAATCAATAAAAACAGGATAGAGTTGTGTCGCTGTAGGCTAGCGTTCTTGTCAATGTAATATTTTTGTCCAAAAAAAATGTTAATTTGATAATTTTACTATTTCAAACGCTACACAGGTTGGACACAGCTTTGTATTAATATGAATTCATTACAATTCAATCCATTTCAAAAAAGTAACTGAAAAATGTGTATTAGTTTGGCATTGATTTTTTTTTTTTTAGTGGTGTGAATTACACCAAAGAGTTTCAATGAATCAATTTTTTCAATTTGAGTTTTGTTTTTTGTTGTTTTTTTTTTTTGGCTGCAATCATGTGTTTTGCTGGTGTGAGGTATCAGTCACAAAGGATTAGCCAGAGGAGCCTCTCAGTGAACCAAACCACGTGACGTCCTCATTTCCTTCCCCCTGCCCGCTCGACGCCGATTGGCCGAGCCGCTGATGTGGAGCCAGCCTCTGACGGTGCCCTGACGAGGACGGCGCGGTGCAGCGGGGGGCTGTGCGCACCCTCCGCATCCGTGGCTCCTCCGGATGGGAACGCCACGGCGACAGGGAAGGATGACATTGTAAATCAGCCATTCGGGAACGCGTGAGTGTGTGTGTGTGTGTGTGTGTGTGTGAGAGAGAGGGCAGGAGGGGGGCTCGTATTCATCCCAGCCAGCTCTTTTCTGCGCCGCTTCCTGCTTTGGGGGCGGGGGGGCGTGGGGGCCCGGAGTACCCACTGTGGATGTTACTCCTTTGACACATGGGTCTGTCGAATGGCTCACTACAAGGACGTGTGCGGCGGGAAGACCTCCTTGAATCTGGTCACGGGATTCTTTCAGTATCTGCGGGGTAAGTCCACGCCGTCTCCTTTCAGCGGGGATGCAGTTCCAGGAGAGCGCGTTCTAATTGGCCGATCTGTTGACGCTTCGGCGGGCATCCCGTGTGCATCGGCTCTGGCGTGGTGACGTCTTTGGGAGCGTGACTGCTGTTTCTTCGACCAGTTTGGTAGAATAAAAAAACAAAAATAAAAGAAAAGCAAAGCAGCTGGATCACGCGTAAGGGGCCTTGCGGTCGCATGAATAGAACCACAAAGGAGGCTGCTGCTAATCTCCTGGCGTGACCTCTTTTTCGAGACCGGCGTATGCACAGTGGCTTGGCATTGCTGCCGGCTTGCTGCTGCAATGCTCCCTGACGGCTAATTAACCTGACGTTGTGTGAGGATGGATGGATGGATGGATGGACATACATACAGGGGGGGGGGGGCGGTCACCGCTGTAGTGGGATCTAAGGCTGCGTCATGCTATCCACATTGATGAAAACAGCATCATCAAACGTCAGACTCTTGCAGGATGCGTTTTAAGTTCACGATCTCTCAAGGCGGAATTTCGGATCCACTGGTTCAGGTGTCGGCGCAGCGAGCTAGTGGTTAGCACGGCTGCCTCACAGTTCTCATAGTTCTGAGTTTGAAGATGAGACCGCATTCGGTTTGGTTGGTCGGGCCTGAGAATCAAACTCAGATGCGGACTGAACCGACTGTGATGCAAACAGAACACGTTGTTTGAAGTTGATGTCACCGCAGGTCCTAAACAGATGATGGGACTTTGGTTTTATCATACTTCAATCACATTCATGAACAAAAAAACCAAAACAAAACACCAAAAACATATGTTTACATTCTGGCACCAAGTGATCGGGTTTTTGCAAACGTATTTTTATGCTTTGGCATTAAATGAGTTCAAGTGCACCTCGGCTGGATTGCCATAAAATTTCTTCTATTTTCTGGCTCACTTGTCATTTTGGTCAAAAGGTGCCAAACCATCCGAGGAGACCAAGCAGCAAGTTAACAAAGCCGTCGGGTTAACCGAAGGTGCGAAAGCACCCCGAGACGCTCGGTTTGAGCGAATCAAAGCGATCGTCAGTCATATTGCATCGCAGATGCTCAATGGAGCCTGATCGATTTCGATTGATCTGCCGCGTATGGCCCCAGGCGGAGTTTATGACCGCATGCCTCATTCCAAACGTGTCTTGTTCTTCTCTTTGCAGACGAGCAAGAAGCCGTGCAAAAGAGAACCTTCACCAAATGGATCAACTCTCACTTGGCGAAGGTCAGGATGCGACTCATCGCGGCTGGACATTTTACACTTCTTGAAAGAACTCATTTGCTCAAATTACCTGCAATCACCTTCTTGTTGTTATTATTCTACGTGATTGTTTGGGCCGAGGAAAAAAAGTCGACCGCAAAAATCGGCTCATAAGAAAATGTCTGCCTCGAAACGAGAGGCGGGGTGATGGGCGGAGTAATGGGTGGAGTCATTGTTCGGATAATCGGTTCGGGAGAAGACTCTGCTCTCGTTCCGATTATTTTTGCTAAGATGGCGGTCATGATCATTATTTCTCACAGTCATTAGGAAACGCATCAATACTCATTTGCGGCACTTTTTCGATAAATCGCTCCCATTGTTTACATTTTGGAAGCAAATTTATTGTCGTTGCACACGTCACACAGCATCCAAATGAAGTGAACAGTTACGACCTGTCCAAGAAAGACAAACAAAACCAACAATGACCAACAGGGGGAGACAGAACGTGGCGCATGACGGGTCGTCAGACGGCAGGGGGCAGACAGGGCGAGGATGATCGGGGACGAAACAAAACAAGTCTCAATGCTCCCAGGAAGCGGCACAGGATAGGTTTTGGAAAAAAACAAAAACAAAGATTCAGAGAAAGTCACCAATATCCGATCACCGCCGAGCTATTTTTTGGAGCAGTGTCAATTTACTTTGCCCCTGAAAATAGCTCACCACGCAGCCATTAGTGTCTGAATGGCTGGCAACAAAAGTGAGTCCACCCCTCCGTAAAAATGTTGAAATTGTGCCCAAAGTTTTGTGCGACCGCCGTTATTTTCCAGCACTCTCAAAAGCCTCACAGGCACTCGCTTCTTCTGGTCGTTTTTTGCAATATGTCGCTGTGTGAAAGTTCACACAGTTGTGTCAGTATCTTATATGACTGGGTTCTGTGTGAAATGCTGTCACAACTCTGAATGCGGCAATTCGGCGGCCAATATGTCGCTGTGTGAAAGTTCACACAGTTGTGTCGGTATCCTATATTGCTGAGTTCCGTGTGAAATGCTGTCACAACTCGAATGCGGCAATTCGGCGACATCTCCTTGTCTCTGAAAGCGTTTCGAGGCGGCTCACAAGAAGAGATTCCGCGGCGGAACGTTTTACGGCTTGCGGGCGATTCCTCCACTCTAATGGCCGCTAATAATGGCGTCATCGTAAATAATGACCTCACGCGGCTTTTTGCGATGTCCGCGGCGGTGGAGGACCCGCCGCGTCTGGAGGAAAGGTCACGCCGTGAGATGGGATGAATCGTGACTGGAGCTTTTATTTATTTTTTTTCAAGTTCGGACGAATATCCTCGTGTACATATGCCGGCTGTACCAAACTGACGTAGGCTGGGGGGTGGGGGGGCATATGTTGCAAGCGAATACGTTCACAGTGATGCAGATGGAGAACAACGGGGCGAGGACATTTCCCCGCAGGCTGTCGTCGATTCACTTCAAAAATAGCGCTGACTGTATGTTATGCGCCGGCTGCCTCGCTTCAAGCATAACAGCAGAGAAGACGAACAGAATTGTCTCGTTTTCGGGCCGTGCGGTGCCTACGCTTGTTCAAGTTGAAGAATTTCACAAATGTGAAGGCGCAGAGCTTATTTGAAATTGTGTCGGAGGTGCGCCGCCTTGCATCCCGATCGCACTGGAATGATGCTGCGTCGCGGAAAAGCGCACTCGTCTTCGGTTGCGGGAGAAAATAGCAAGATGGCAATGTCGTGAATGCTCATCAAACGCTTTCAGTTGCTGTTCTGCAGAAGAAATTTTAGGAGTAGGAATTGTACAGTCCTGCAATGACAGTAAAAGTGGGAATGAGGAGTGGGTCAAAAAGTTGAAGGTGTGATCCCACATCCATTTGCTCAGCCGTCTCCATTTTCCGCTCATCACTTTCTCTCGGTTTCCTCTCACTCTGAATGACTTCGCACCTTTTCCGCTGCTCGCCACAGTTTTTTCCTCTCCGACGCCCTTGCCGTGGTCAGGCGATTATTTCTTTCTTTTTCTTTTTCCGGGATGGGAGGAAGAGTGGAAGGATAACTGACGAGATCTTGGCCTCTTGCAGTCGGACCACCGTCGTCGACTGCGTCCATGCTTGGATGTCACACACACACGAACTCGATTGCTTTCCAGCAGTCACAATTACAGATCGAACTTGAAATCTTTTCAATTACCGCTGCCTGAAAAATGTGTTTATTTATTATTTCCGGGATGGGAGGAAGAGTGGAAGGATAACTGATGAGATCTTGGCCTCTTGCCGTCGGACCACCGTTGTCGACTGCGTCCATGCTTGGATGTCACACACACGAACTCGATTGCTTTTTCCAGCAGTCACAATTACAGATCGAACTTGAAATCTTTTGAATTACCGCTGCCCGAAAAATGTGTTTATTTATTTTTCTAGTTTGGTGTCGATCAGCCATCAGAAGGTTTGATAAGATAAGATCAGAAAACCTTTTTATTAGTCTCACAATGCACAAATTCCCAATTCACAGCAGCAAAGTTTTTGGGAGAGAAAGAAAAAAAAAACACTAGCCGATGACCGATTGGATCAAATGGAATATTTACTCTCCAGTCGAGCCCCGCCCTAGTGATTATGCATTCTGCGTGTCTTGAAATCTCAGTCCAACTGCTCTTCAAATGGCTGCCAACATGGGAGCTCTGTCTCAAAAAACGGCAGTGAAGGAGTTAGGTGTGAAAGGGAGAATGAATGGTTTTTTTTTTTAATGTCCTGCAATCAGCTGGCAACTCGTTCAGGGTGTAAGCCTCCCTCTCGCCCGGGGTCAACTGGGAGAGGCCCCAGTGCCCCAATGAGGATAAGCGCTGTATTAAAAAAACAAAAAGTGTGCCACATGCTAATTCCGGACGTGCCGCCCGCTCCGAGGCCATTGCGCTTCTGTATTCCCGTACAGAATTCTCAAGCAGATGTCTTCACACTGCTCGCTCGGCCAACCGAGCGGTGAAGAAGGCTGGCGATCGACGCCAAGTCAAGAGCCTTTTCATTAAAGCTTAGCGCCGCTGAATACGTTCTCATTTGCAAGACGGGGGGCTGCTCAGCCGCCTGTCGCATCTCCTTGTCTGCGTGCCCACGCGGAGGGTTAGATGATCTCAGCCGCGACACCCGAGACCGGGCGTCGAGCCATCGCCGAGGGAACGGCGCCATCTTTGCAGCCCCTACGGGGTGGCCTGCGGCGCTCGTTGCTAACAAGCCTGTTTGTCACTTGCAACATTTGGTCCGGCGAGGGTTTGGCATAGCAATGTCCTTTCGCGAGCAGCCCCCCCCCACACACCCCCACGACCCCCAGTCCAATTCAGTCTCAGGTCGCGGTGGCAGAGCAGTCTCAGCAGAGCAGGCGCCGAAGCGTTTGTCTCGTACCGAGGTCCCTCCGGGTCTGTGATCTCGTTGTCTTGTCTTGCAGCATAAACCGCCGCTAGAAGTCAACGATCTTTTCGAGGATATTAAAGATGGGGTGAAGCTCTTGGCTCTGTTGGAAGTGCTGTCGAGTCAAAGACTTGTAAGTAGACTTTTTCTGCTTTTTTTTTGGGGGGGGGGGGACATGGAAAAAGAGTTGCCACAACACAATTGCTTGAGATACTGCCTGGCTTTTCACGATTCCACTCTGAAGCGCTGGTGACTAAAGATACTTCCATTTTAGCAAAAACCAGAAGAATGTCTTCCACTTTCAGTTGTGTCAAGGTCCAATCTTGTAAACCGATCACCTCGATGATCCGCAAAGAACCGTTTGAAAATACTCATCTTACTGCAGTTTGCTCGTTTTGCTTCTGAAAAGATGGGATTTCGCTATTCAGTGTGGGAGTGGATCTCGTCTACTCAACTCAACTCAAGTGTATTTCGCGAGCACTTGACAACACTCAAGTGCTGCACATGGAGCAAAAATAATTCGTACAACACACAAACAATAAATAGTAGAAAGCACGAAAAGCACTTACCAGTACCAGTCAAGAGGCAAGGCAGCAGCATTTTGGACCAACTGGAGACGCTTCATGGAGGATTGGCTGATTCCAAAGTAAAGTTCGTTACAGTAATCCCGTCGAGATGTGACGGAGGCATGATTAATACTTTTAAGTTGAAGTATTTCAAAGTGGCCCTTGCATCCTTCCATTTTTGTGCATGTGGCCCTCAGAAAAAACAAACCAAAAACCTAAATGGTACATGATGTAAAAAGTTTGAGAAGCGCCACTTGATGATGTACGATGTGAACTTCACCAGCCCTCCGAGCAAGGCCGCCAACTCAAGAGGATCCACTGGGTTTCCAACATCGGCACGGCGCTCAAATTCCTCGAGGGCAGGAAGGTAAGCACTCGGCGCTCCTTTCACCAGTAAACCACTTCTCGTGCCACAAAAGCGGCAGTGCTGTTACCGCTATTTGTCAGCATCTGCACGATGCCTCGAGTGCAGAGGCGGTCGGCAATTCAAGAGAGGAGAGCGGCTCGTCGTTACGTAATCTCCGTCTCCGAGTCCTTTATGGCTGCGGCGGAGCGCGCCGTGTCCCACTTTGCGCTTGGATTTGCTCTTGTGGAGGCAGCACTTGCTGACTGACCAGTGTTTGTGGTTGCGTGCAGCAGACACGTTGCCCTATGGCGCTTCAGAGCAGCGGGCTCACAAATTTCCGGAAATGCGTAGCTCACACACAAGATTTATCCGGTGGATTAATTTCACATTTGATGGGCGGACAGGAATTCCAGAGGCCCAACTATTCATCCTTGCTGTGCTGACATCTGCTTTTCTCTCTTGGAAAGGAACAATTTGTAAGCGTCCGCACAAGCTAGCATCGCTCGGGGCAACAATAGTGTCACTCAACGTGTAGAGCGCATCAGGCCTAAAGTCCTGGTGCTGATGTTCTTTGTGTCCAAAGCTTACAACCACAGACTGTTGGGATGCAAATCGATTTGTAGCGATGCTACGTGAGTTAGCATGTCCTAACAGGAATGGCTTGCATACTGTGAGCCGCTAGCTTGTGCCGATTACCCGCCGATTGTTCCCGCCGTGCCAAGTTCCAACTTTGGAACTGCATTAAACTCAAGAGGCTTTTTTTTTTTCTCCCTCCGAGGCGTTAGCAGTGAATGCTACGCGCAATGCGCTCCTCCGGGAAATAAGTGATGCCCGGCTTTTTTTTTTCAGATCAAACTGGTGAATATTCACGCGACGGACATCGCAGACGGACGCCCGTCCATCGTCCTCGGGTTGATATGGACCGTCATCCTCTATTTCCAGGTACAGTGGGGGCCCCCATTTGAATTCTTCGGAATATGACCACGATTTTCGGAATTTAAAAACAAAAAAGGGCCACCGGATGACATTGCTCCGAGTTTTTCCCTTCACCTTCATCGTTTCCTTCACCAGATTGAGGAGTTGACCAGCAACCTTCCAGCCCTCCAGGCCTTGTCGGCAAGCAACTCCTCGGTGGAGAGCTCCGAAACAGGAAGTCCTCCCATGAAGAGAAAAGTGGTCAAGTTTCAGGGCAACGCCAAGAAGGCGCTGCTCCGATGGGTGCAGAGCACCGCTGCCAAGTATGTCCAACTCCAGAACCTTTATGAAGGGCAATTCCTGAGAGCAGAAAGTAAGCGAGTACTGCCGACTTGAACTTAGGTCGTACCACCAAGTCTTTTTATTATGTCGTCAAGTCAGCGGTAGCTGTGAAAGTGGTCGTAAGTAGCCGGACAGAGAAAATCTTACAAGATTAACTCGAGGTGGAGTAGCCACTTCAAAAGGGACTGACTGCCTGAGAATCAAACCACTATCGGGTTTGCGGAAGACATTTTCTCACAAATATTTGGTTGGGTTGTCTTTGAGTCATTTAGCAAAACATAACGGCTAGCCTGCTAGCCGACATCAACTCTGCGGCATGCTAGCAACAGAAAAGTCAGTTCAGGAGCCGGTCTCCTAGCGACCGCGTCTAATTTTGAATCAGTTTATCTGTTGATATGTCAACGATGGCCGCTGGAGGTTTCGAGCTTCCGAGCCGTTTTCATTTTCAAGCCGTTGAGCTCGTTTTCCCAATCGCTCCGTCTTGCTCAACGACTTGTATGGGTTGATTTTTCTCATGGTGCATTCGGAGATCGCTGTGGAGCTTTTGCCACCCGGAAGTGTGCGTGTGACATCATGATGAAAATGTCTCGAAACGGTCCTGAATGAATACGTGTTGACCTTTTCGCCAGGCATCACGGGATCGAGGTGAAGGATTTTGGTGCGAGCTGGCGCGACGGAGTCGCCTTCCAGTCGGTGGTGCACGCCATCCGGCCCGACCTGGTAGACATGCAGGCGGTGCGCCGCAGGGGCAACAAGGAGAATCTGGAAGAGGCTTTCGCGCTAGCGGAGAACGAGCTGGGCATCCCTCGTCTACTGGATCCAGAAGGTGTTGGGAGCGTGTTGTTGACAGATTCTCCACATCGGGAATTCTTACATCTTTTTGTTGTTGTTGTTGTTGCCGATATAAATTTCAAATTTTCCTACCACGTGCGCCTTTAAATCCCGTGGAATGATTTAATTTCCAGCGTACCTCTTCAGGACTGGATTTTGACCTCAAGTTGTCGAACCGCTGCTCGAGATCAATCCTGTTTGTTGATTGTTTGTGTCGCTCTGCAGACGTGGACGTCGACAAGCCGGACGAGAAGTCCATCATGACGTACGTGGCGCAGTTCCTCAAGCACCACCCCAACCCTCAGCACTCGGAAACCGACGGACAGCACGATGAGGTACCTGCTCGTACTGCTCGGCTGATGCAGCGATTTTCATTTCATGGTCGTTCATGTTAAAGAAACAAAACAAAAAAAAAAAAAAAACAAAGTGACTTGTACGGAATTAAAGGCGGCCCCTCGTGTCGGTCTGAGACCTGCCGTTTTGGTGGCAATTTTGCTTATGTGAAGGCTTTCGTTTATGTGTTAGCATCATCCGGCAAGAATAGTTGTGACAGTTTTTGCCTTGCAGAAGCACCGGTGTCAGTAAATGCCTCCCCTCAAAAAATAAAGCAAAAAAAAAAAAAATGACTACTGTTTTCTGCCATTTGCGAAAATAAAACACTTGTCACCCTGAAAATAAGTTAGCTAAGCGGCGTTCATCTAACATTTCGGGTTAGGTACGGTTTGTAATTTTTCAAGGAATCAACACTACGCGTTGTTGCTTCATGTAAAGCCAGAACATTTGTTTCCATCGTTCGTTGTTAGACGATACAAGTTCAGTGATGAGTCGACGATTCACATTTTTTTCTTGAGCTGGTTAGCCAAATACAAGAAGCTGTTGTAGACCACAACGCACATCCAGACGCTCACACTGAACCGACCAGCCACCCTGATTCGAGCCCCGGTAGGCCACGCCCCCTACGGGCACACCATTCAACACAAGTACTAAAAGTCCAGACAGTGATGACACTTGATTTATTTCTTTGCATTTACTTATGGTTTATTATTTTTATACAAACTGGATTTCCTCATTTTAAACACAATTAGGAAATAATTTGGGGGGGCGGGGGCCAAACGGCATCATGCCATTTGGACTCGTTTCAATGGCCAAAATGGATTAGAGCTCTGAGTAAATTTATCAGTCAAGTTAATTGAATGTTTGGGGGTGGGGGGTGAAATGTTTCCCGTCAGTTGCCTTGTGATTTGTGTGTGTCTGATCGCTCATTCCAACTCATGTCCACCGAGCACTGCTGAGCGATATTCTTGTGCACGTGCTTTGTTCTCACCGCATGAACGCCGCGGCCAATTTGTTTCCCCGTCATCAGCGCGCTCATCGTTTTGATTTCCCCATCCGCTCGTGTGCTCATTTCAAGCTGCGCCTGGGCCCCGTCCCGACCTTTGCGCCGTCAGCTCCCGCGCATCAGGTGAGCGACGGGGTCGCGCAGAGATGCATGCCGCATGCCGACCGTCGTCTCCGCCTCGCTTGCACCGTCCGCTGCCTTTTTTTTTTTTTCCTCTGATGCGTCTCTTTTGTCTGCTTTGCCGCCTTCCCCTGATAGTTTGGCCCTCAAGACATCGAGCAAATGCTTGAGGTATGTTTTGCTTCCTCACTGGCATTGACAACCTTTTCAGTCTTCAGGCCTCTAACGTGTGCTGTTTACTGACTCATCCTCCCTTTGGCGGCGTTTCTGGAATGTTCTTTGAAGTGAAGCCGGCGAGCATTTACGGCAGTCTTTTTCCAAATCATTGAAATTCGTTTTTTTTTTCCTTCGTATTATTCACGCAACACTTATAATGACAAAGTGAAAAATGTCTTTTTTGTGATGTATTTATTTTTTTGCTAGTTTATTAGAAAACAGAAAACTAAAGTGTACATTTTATCCCGTGTTTTAAACTCTTGTAAAATGTCTTTGAGTATGATGAAAAGCGCTTTCAAAATTAAATTTTATTATTATTATTATGATTATTATTATTATTATTATTATTATTAAAGCCTGCAACACAGCCTGTTTTTTGTTTTTCATTTTCGATTTTTGTCAATTAATATTATACATGAGCTTTTGGGGGTTCCTTTTAAATCTACATTATTTGTTTCCGAAGATTACATCAAATAATCCAACTATGCTAATCCTCTCCCGCCATCTAAAATTTGACAGCGGGAGGAGCGTAAGATGCTGAGGGAGCTGAAGGTGTTCCTGGACCAGCTGGAGAGAGATGTGCTGAGGGCCCAGGCGGCCGAGGGCAATCTCACAGACAAGTATCAGGTACCCGCAGTCGGCGGGCGCTCAGGAAACTCCGCCGCCGTCACGTTTAGTCCACCAGTCCCGACGGCATCGTCTTTTGCGCAGGCCTTCAAGAACTTCCGCGTGCAGTACGAGATGAAGAAGAAGCAGACGGATCCGCTGCTGCAGCCGCTCCACAAGGACGGCAAGCTGTCTGCGGACCAGGCGCTGGTCAAGCAGGCGTGGGATCGCGTGTCCATCAGGGTGCGTAGGAACATCTTCGTGTGACAGAAATTTGATGCTGAAATTCTGTGTGTCTGTTTTTTTTTTTTTTTTTTTGAACGGGTGTCAACCGCAGCTGCTGGACTGGCACATCCACCTGGACAAGTCCTTGCCGGGTCCTCTGGGCGCCATCGGAGCCTGGCTGCACCGAGCCGAGATGGCCCTGAGGGAGGACGTTCCCATCCAGCACGCTCACGAGGAGACGGCCAACGCTCTCCACAGGAAACTGGAGCAGCACAAGGTCAGCTTGCGATGACTTTGCGGTCCGGGGCTCACGTGAGAGGAGGGGACTCCGCGGGCCGGATTTGCTTTTCACTCGAAAGGGCTCGCCGCTGGTGGCGTGTGGCGCTTGACAACAGGCGTCAAAATGGCGGACGCTTCCGATTGCAAAATCCGTTGCGGCTAATGTGATTTCGCCTTTTCCAGCTCTGCAGGCGAGGCAGCTTTATGAAAACAGCATTTTTTTTTTCCTCGCAATGAATTCAAAGGAGTTTTATCCTGCCATTAATCAGTCACTCAGAAGTAGGCTCTCAGTTTCAAAAAGGTTGGTGGCCGCTGATCTAGAAGTTCCAAAATTTCACTGCTGCTTGGATAATACGTCTCAATCATTTTTGTTTCTGGCATTTCAAATGCAAATACAAACACGCAAAGATTACACGAGTAGAAAATCAGCCAATTTTTGTAGCTTTCGACAGATTTTCTTTTTTACACGTTAGCACACTACAGCAAAAGACAAAGGTAATATTTCAACAAAAACTGCAAAAAAATAAGATTTTTTTTGTCTCTGTGACATAGTTAAATACCTAATGACAAAGTGCTGTAAAATTGTCAAATGTTCTGCCTGTAATTGATATCTTTATCGTTATTTTACTTAATATGTCTTCTTTAAATGAATCTTATCTGAATTTTATCCAGTCGTAATCGGGATCAGCATCTGCGATATCATGCACGAGCCAACTTTTCGCCCTCGCTGTTTCAGGAGGTGTTAAAAAACCTGGAATCGCACAGGCAACCCTTCCAGCAGATCCATCGAGACAGATCGGTCAACGGCGTCCCGGTCCCGCCGGAACAGCTCCAAGATATGGCCGAGCGGTGAGTCGGCCGACACCTGGAGTGCTGCCACGTTCTCAGACTCCCGCGAGGGGCAAATCGAGCACGTTTCCAATCTGCAGGTTCAATTTTGTGTCCACGTCATGGCACGGCCACTTGATCAAACTGGAATTCTGGGAGATGAAGTATCGGTTGATGGCCTTTCTGCTGCTGGCAGAGTCCAAACTCAAATCCTGGATCGTTAAGTACGGCAGGCGGGACTCGGTGGAGCTCCTGTTGCAGAATTATCTCGTGAGTTGGCGCGATGGTTGTCGTTGCGGAAGCGCCGTGCAAATGGCTTGATTTGGACTTTTATTTTTCCTAGACGTTCATTGAGGGCCACAGGTTCTTCGAGCAGTACGACATCCTCTTTTCGGCACTCAAGCAAGCGGCGGACGTCTACGTCAAGTCTGACGGCTCAAGTAAGTCTCTTCTACCGCACAGAAAGCAGTCATGCCTGGAGAAATAGGTCGTTCAAGATACCAGCCGTCGTGTTATTGTTTTTGCTATCGCTTGGAAATGTCAACAATTTATCCAAAAAGAGATTTCAAGCTGTTTAATGCCACTCCTAGTTGAAGTTTACTGTCAAACTAAACATAAAACAAAAGAGAATTACATGTTGTGTATTTAAAACTGACACTTAGCTTAGCCTTTAGTTTGCTAGCCTTGTGCTTATGCTAACCACATCACGCATGCTAACCGCATCACGGTGGCCTCTTCACATCTTGCTTGAGTCTGAACGCTTGTTTGTCTCTGCGCCTTGCCACTGACCTTCGACCTGTCCGGCGCCAACTGCCGTCCCCGAATGAGGAGACGTAGTGTAGGGAACGAATTTGGATGGATGGCAAATGACATTTTTCACACGCCCGACCTCACCAAACTCGACATCCGCAGTTGACGAAGCAGAGGGCGTGAGCAAATTCCTCGGCGACGCCGCGGCTCAGTGGAAGAACCTGGCGCTGGAGGTGCGCAGCGTTCGCAGCATGCTGGAGGAGGTCATCTCCAACTGGGAGAAGTACGGCGGCACGGTGGCGGCTCTGCAGGCCTGGCTGGAGGACGCCGAGCACATGCTCAACCAGTCCGAGGCCGCCAAGCGCGTAAGTGTCCACGCCGCTTGGAAACAAGCGCCGTTTGAGATCGCTGAGCCAAAAGTAGTCGTCGGTAGCATTTTGTTTTTGTGTGTTTTGCATTGGGAAAACCTCATTGCGCGCCACCAACGCAAAAATGTCACAAGTGTGGAGAATAAAATGGAGCGCTCTTCCAAATTGTGAAAAATTTGGCAAACTTTTTTTTTTTTTTTGGGTAGAAAAATTCGGCGCTGTTTCTTGATTCCAGGATTTTTTCCGCAACCTGTCCCACTGGGTCCAGCAACACATGGACATGAACGATGCCGGCAACTTCCTCATCGAGACCTGCGACGACAGCGTGTCGCGAGATCTCAAGCAGCAGCTCCTCCTCCTGAACGGCCGATGGAGGGAGCTCTTCGTCAAAGTCAAATACGTAAATGAAGTCCTTTTTCTTTTTACACTTCAAAGCAGAAGTGGGGGGATTTGAATCACGCGACTTGGCTCGAATCAGACTTCAAAGTGGAATTCAAGTCCCAAGATTTTATTTGTAAATTGACAGCTATTCTGATGACATACTCAGCCCTCTGCTGTTCACTGAAATTGACAAAGTACCTTCGGGCTCGCATTGTGACCGTTGCAGGAGGCAGTGCTGGATCAAATGTCAGCCACCTGAGATGGGTGGATTAACCGGAATTCTTAAACCACAAATGCAACATGAATCAGAACATTGTGTAGAGACTAGTGAGGACGCATAAAATAGAAAATGTTTTACTTCAGTTGCCCTTTTAGGACATGAGGTAAGACTGCTTCAAATTAAGAGTGACCATCGTTTTTTGTTTTTTTTTGTTCAGTATGCGAGGGCAGACGAGGTGGACAAGTTGCGGCACGACTATCAGGACGGCATCAACACTTTGAAAATGTTCATGGACGCCACCGACGAGAAGCTGAACGCAGCCGTGCAAGTGTCTTTCCTCAACATCCGCACATTTGCTCAGGATGTCGAGGTAGAGGGGGCGCACTGGCGCTTCTCTTCCTGAGTCTATTTTATGAGCACTCTCCTTTCAGAAACGCCAAACTGTTGGTTTGAAAGTGTCTCTGGAGATTTGCTTCAACTCCGCCCCCCCTCCTGCAGGAAATCAAGCACAAAGTGCCGGCCATGGAGGCGGCATGTAAAGCGGCGGGTCGCACCGCTCAGCTGCTGAGCAAAGACACGGCGCAGGACGAAGTAGCTCAGATGACGGCCGTGATGACGTCCATCAAGGAGCAGCTTGTCAAGGTGCGGCCGTGGCACTTTGGGACTCGGCTGAAGTCCCCAAAATGCCTTCTCAAGACTAAGAAAGCGATTTCTAGACTGCATTCTCATTCCGACCCTTCCTTGCCCCTCCTTGAAAGGCCTTTTCACCCCGCATTTGTTTTCCTTGGTGCTCACTGCGGGCTGGGGCGCAAGAAAGACGGCGGCCCCGGCGCAAGCTCGCTCATATTTGGTGGTGGTTGCTTAGCGACCACCCAGGAAGTAGCCCGGGTTTTCCGCACCGCTGCGATACGGATTTGTGATTGTTGCTGTGCATTCTTAACCACGTTCTGCTCTCTGATCTATTTTCTCGCCACTGCCCCCCAAGCACCCCGTCGACAATTGTATCACGCTTGTGACTGCTGCCGTCGACCCCCCTCCCTCCCCCCAACCCGGCGACGAATATTCCCAGGCCGAATTTTGAAGCTCATACGCGATGAATGGGCTTTTGATAGCGCACGAAACTTTGCTAAGCGCAGTGTGAAAAAGGTTTTCAAGAGTCCCCGTTGGCCTTGATGGTCCTATGTGGTACGGAAATATTTTTCTTCTCCTCATAACGAGTGTGTGTCTGAATTCCTGGAACTACGGTGGCCCTCAATGGTCAAAAAGCTGCCTTTTCGGGTTCCGCCTGAAATTTCAGCCGGAATCCCCACATCCCTAACTTTTTGTTTGACGAATGTTATTTCTCACTTGGCTTACCTGTCATGCCATCAGGTGAGAGAGCGATGTCTGCCGCTGCTGAAAGAGTCGCAGTCCCTCCTAGCTCCGCTGGAAGAAATGGAGAAGAACATCAGTGGCTTCTACCAAGCTCTGGAGAAGGCCAGCCACGTGACGAGCAGCAGCGACGCCGAGGGGCCCGTCGACTTCAAACACAAGTGCCAGGTGATCCCGAAGAGCCGCTCGGTCCGTCCGTGGCAACCCCGTGGGGGGCTGACGCCTCGTTTGTTGCAGGAGCTGGCGGCCGCCACGCAAAGCTGCAAGAAGTGTCTGATGGTGATTGAGCGGAATCACCAGAGCATCCTGAAGCTCACGGACCTCAGTAAAACGCTGCAGCACATGGACATGAGCCTCCTGCAGAAAAGAGTCGCAGACCTCCAGGCCGCCTCGCAGGTAAACATCTTCATGCGCTGCGAAGGATTAATCAATTAGTGAGTCGTCAATTAGTGAGTCGTCTTGGTCTCATGATGTCAGAATGACAACTGTAAGGTGAAGAGGACTCGTCTGATATCTCTGCCATTCAGCTGCAATTTTCATTTGAGTTATTTTTGTTTAGTTTTTGTTAGTTTTAGGATTAGATTGGCGGCCCAGTAGGCCAGCAGTTTGGGATAGTATTAGATTTATTTATTTATTTTTAATGTTCGCAGCAAGATTAAAAAAATCCCCACGGCAAGTATTGTGTGGCAGAAAATCACCCAACGTATTATTTTAAAACCATTTTCAAAACAACTGACCATCTCCAAATCAAATTCAGGGACTGCATCACAGTCCATAGACTTGGAATTACAATCAGTGCCGTACATGATAGTCCTTCTAAAGTGCCTCATTGGCTTGGAAAAGTGGATTTGCGGCTTTGAATTGTTGATGAAGCCGCGCGTGTGCGCAGGCCATGTTTCGGGAAGCCACCGAGTGGAGGAAGCACGCGGAGGCCAACCGCAGTCTCATGAAGAGGTTTGACGAGTCCCGGCTGGAGCTGGAGAAAGTCCTCAAGATGGCGGAAAGCTGTCTGACGGAAAGGGGCCGCCCGGAGGAGCTGCTCAAGAAGCACACGGTGAGCGGTCCCCGACCTCTAATTTGAGGGAGGCATTTATTTCATCGCTCGAGCGAGGCGCTTATTCATCTTCAGTTGATCATATTAGGGAGGTGTTCATTTTTCATTTTTGGCAAGTTGCTGATCGCTTGAAAGTTTTGTTCACTCCAAGTCAGATTTTTTTTTTAGGTGTTTGTTCGGTGAGTGGATCATTATTTGAGGGATGCTATTTGTTGTAAGTATGCCGGGGATGGGGAGGTAGTAGTTTTTTTATTTGAGTATTTGATTGAGAGATGATTATTTGAGTTTTGCCATTTGTGCCCTCCACTCTTTTTGAGGTATTTATTTGTCTTCAGTGATTATTTGAAAGAGGTTTTTGTTTCTGAAGTTGATGATTGTTTTTTTTTTTTGTTTGTTTGTTTTTTGCGCCCCACCAAAAAATTGGCGAATCTGATTTGGCGAGGTTTTTTTTTTTTTTTTTTTGATTATTTGAGGGAGGCGTTTATATGTCTTAAGTTGATGGTTCAATCCCTCCCACAGGAAGTAGAAATACACTGACATGACCACATGCCACAATCTGAGAAGGAATTTGAAGGCCGCAAGTAAAGTTTGTGACTTTGCCAGGAGTTCTTCGGCCAGCTGGACCAGCGCGTCCTGAACACGTTCCTCAAGGCTTGCGACGAGCTCACCGACATTTTGCCCGACCCGGAGCAACAGTCGCTGCAGGAAACCGTTCGGGCGCTGCACAAACACTGGAAGGTGACTTCTGCAAATCAAACGGAAACGCACCGGCGATATTTCTCTCCTGCCCGCCGACTGTTTTGCCTCGCTCGTTTTTTGTTCGCAGGACGTCCAAACCGACGCTCCCTTCCACCTCCTCCGCTTCAAAGTGGAGGCGGAAGCGAGCAAGCTGGCGACGCTGCTGCAGGAGTGTCAGGCCGAGGTGAGCCGGGAGAACAGACACCTGGCCAGCACGGGCAGCGAGAGGCTCGTCAAGGAGCACCGGGTGAGCGACCCCTCCGCGAAAGACCTATCGCCTCCTCGGGTGAGCACGCTCACGGCAGCCATTTTGTCCTCCCCCCGTCAGGCCTTCTTCAGAGAAAAGGGTCCTTGGTCCCTTTGTGAGAAGAGGCTGCAACTGATGGAGGAACTCTGTCAGAAGCTCCCCGAGGGCGACTCTGCCCACCTAACTCTTGACAAGTCCAGGAAGGACTACGCTGAGCTCAGCGAGGAGATCGAAAACACCCATCAGAAGCTAATGCAGCACCCGGACAAATGGAAGGACTACGACGAAAGGTAGAATCGCCTACAATTCAATTGTGGCGCAAGCAGCCATTTTACAACTTCAGTGCTCACAGAAAAGGTTTGGCATTTTGGCATTTTGGGGGTTTTGAACAATTTCTGAACAGAAAAAAATTCAGAACCGGTGTTTGAAAGATTTGTTTTGCAGTCAGTTTTATTTTATTTTTTCAATTGCTGTTTGTGAAACAAAGATTGTTATTTATTTGCTACCGATTAATGCTAGCAGCGACTTCTGATGCCCTAAAATAGTTCTGGTCGGTCCGTAGCATGAAAGAAAAAATGTCGATCGTTGCTTTCCAAAGTAAAAGAAGCATTTTTTTCAAATGTCTCATTTTTGGTGAAAAACAAAAGCTGATCAGTCAGAATATTGACTGTGAAGATGCTGAGCCCAGAGCTCGAAAAACGTTGATGAATCGATTAATTTCGAGGCCTCTAATTGTCATTTTGAGCTGAACGTTTGCGTCTTGAAACAGATACGCAGAGCTTTCCTGCTGGTTGATCTCGAAAGAGAGCCAACTGCGACTCCTGAGGAACCGGGCGGGCGATCCCAGGAAATACGGTCAGGTCAAGGCCACCATTACGGTATGTTTGCGTCTCGCCCCCCTTGCAAGCGAGCCACTTAGCGTCGTTACCATTGCGCCACGTTGGTCTCGCTGCGCCCTGCGGCAGGAGCTGAGGAACGACGCCGAGCTGCAGGAAGGCAACCTTTGCCGGCTGAAAGCCCGGATGGCCGTCCTGATCGAGATCTGCGCCGACAGCGACGCCCAGAGGCAAGGAAGCGCCCTCGGCAAGCTGTCGGCTGATTTCAAGGGTCTTCTCTTGTCTCTCGTCGAGGTCAGTAACTGCCCCGCATCTTATCATTTGTCGTTTTGAACGTGCTCGGGGCTAACTGTCCTTCAACGAATATTTGAGGTCTGGATACTTTGACTCCTCATTGCTGCTAAACAAAAAAAAAGACATCTGTGAAACGCTGAAAGTGTTTTAGAGCTTACATTGCATGAAAAAAAATTGAAAAGTCAGGTGAGCCATAAGGTCAAAAGGTCAAGTTACTATAATATGCACCAATCTCTTCACCAATTGCAGATTTGGATTCCTTATTCGATTCCCTTCCCAACAATGCCTGTTTGGACAAGATTGACCCAGTTTTGGTTCAGAAAATTTGACACGCTTGATTTGCTGTCGCGGGCCACACAAACTGATCTGGCGGGCCAGATCTGGCCCACGGGCCTTGAGTTTGACACCTATGCAGTAGTACCTGAGATTGAAGTGTTTGAAGAAAGGTGGCCACGCCCTCCCCACCTCCCCCCAAATGAATTAAAATTCGGGGGAGGCGTAGCTCCGATCTTGCGCCATCATTCTCGACAAATGCAGCAAGTTTCAGTACAATCAAGAGCCGCTTTGTACAAGTTTTCAGCTTTTGGAATCACAGCCCAAGCACTCCCGGGGTGTGTTTTAGGCAGAGAAGATGGTCCTGGCTGTGGGTGACTGCGTTCAATTTAGGGAGGAAGTGCAGACGACTTTGGACGATCTTCTCCGAGCGCAGAAAGAAGCTCAGTCTGATGTCTCCCGAATCCTGGATTGTCCCACTGTGAGGGAAGCGCAGCAACTCCTGCTGGTGCACCAGGTGCCCCTCCCCCCCCACTCGCATTAAACGTGCTTGAAGGAAGTCCTAACGGGCCTACATTGTCTTCTCCGTAGCAAGTTGTGAAACGGCTGAAGCTGAAGAGGAAGGACGTCCAGCAGCTGATCAGTCGGGGGCAGCAGCTGCAGGCCGAGGAAGGCCTGGGGGAGACTTTGCAGCAGGACCTGCACAGCCTGGAGAACACGCTGGGCAAAATGGAGCAGAGCATGGATTCGCAAGAGCAAAGCCTGGAGGTGAGCCACCACTCCTGGGAAAGGCGCCGTTGTCGCTGTTGGCGGTGACGTTTTGTGATCCTCAGGTCACGCTGGCAGCCTGGCAAGAGTTTGACAGCCAGCAGGAGGCGGTGCGCCAGTTTGTGAGCAAGGCCCGATGCGCGACGGAGCGAGAGCTGAACTTCAGCAGTCCGGAGAGTCTGGCGGTGGAACTGGACCAGGCCAGAGTCAGTCCAACTTAACTCCTCGGTTAACTCCAGAATCCGATCATTTTTCAAAGTAAAATATCTTTCAGATGCCGAAATGAATAAAACGGAAGTATTGTAAGTTCTTTTTTTCTTTCTGTGCGCCCCGGTACCAAATGACCCACAGACAGGTACCGGTCTGCGGCCCGGGGGTTGCGGATTGCTGATTTAGCACATGCACGGCGATGCAAAGTAGCCATTGCGCGCAACCCATGAATCCGGCAGCGGTTTTGCAGATACACTGACCCGTTGTGCAGAGAGGCCGAATATCTCTCGGCCCAAGGACGCTTGGAAAAAATAAGGAGCATTTCCCGTTTGTCTGAACCAGGTGCTCCTGAAGCAATGTGAAGCCGAGGCCTCGCATATGAACATTTTGCTGAAGAGAGCCACGGAAATCCAGCTGGGCCCAAAGAACAAGCCGCTGCTCCTTGAGCAGGCTCGCTGCCTCAGCGATCAAGTGGACAAAGTGGAGGCTGGCCTCAAAAAAGAGTACGCTTCTTTCAAGATTGACCTTTTTTTTTTTTTTTCGAAGCTCTTGTATAATGTCTGCTTCTTGTGCTGTAGTGTGAAAACCGCAGAGGAGATGAAGATCAAGTGGGATGGCTTCGCGGCCGAGTTTGAAGCTTTTTCCTCGTGGATATCTGACAAGGAAAAGCAACTGGACGCCTTGAAGGGTTCCACTTTGGCACTCGAGCAACAGATCGAGACAGTGAAGGTACCCGACAATCCTGACGAATTTTGGTCGCCCTCTACTGAGGATAAAGAAGATATGCCTGCCAGTATATTTATATCGTCTGTCTTTGAGTTTCTGCCTGTTTGTGTTCATCTGTTGCTTCACCGTCACGTGGATGCTAACTTTTCAGCCCGTGCCTTTGGCGTTTCGCATTTTGTGTTAGCGTTACGCTAGCTGAGGCTATATGGTTGTTTCAAATTGCACAATGTATAAGTTTGATTCTAAACTTCGGCAAGGAGAGCCAATAAGCAGCTTGAAGCCTCGTTTCACCCCGTGTTACCTTCCATGTTTCCAGGTTGTGGAGACGGAGCTCCAGGAGCGTGCTCGGGTTCTCTCCGGACTGGAGGCCGACTCCCAGGATCTGGCACGGTTCATTTCGTCGGGCGAGGCGGCCCGCATCAAGGCCCGCCTGACCCAAATCGGACGCTACTGGGACGAGCTAAGGGAGAGCGTGCAGCAGCTCGACGGCCAGCTGCGGGAAAGCTTCTCACACCAGCGGAAGTTCTCGCAGAGCTTCCAAGAGGTGCCGTGAAAGAAATTATTCTGCGCTGTGTATTGTTTTGACAGAAAGCATCACGGTGGACTTGCGGTTTGCATATCTGCCTCGTAGCTCTCGGAATCTCTCTGGGGTTTTCTCTCCATACTTTGGCTTCCTCCGTGTTAGGTTCATGGAAGATTCGAGTTTTTTTTTTTCTGTTTTGTTTTGTTTTTTCTAGGCGCAAGCATCACTCTGTGAGCTACAGTCAAAGCTGGAGGAGCCAATCAAGACGTGCGGTTCTTCATCAGATACCTACAGGGCCCTTCAAAACCACTTGGTGCTTGATTCTTTTCCCTTTGGGAGAAAATTAAAAGTTCACAGTCCGCATATCAGGGATGGGCAACCGAAATGAAAATCTTTATGGGGGGGGGGGGGGCACAGAGGACTGCACAAAAAATAACAATTACTGTGATCTCATTTGGTTCATGTTTTCACCAAATTTTCATGGCTGATGCAAACTAGGCCAATGGCTTTGTTTTTAAATCCGGCGAGCATATAATCTGCTTCTTATTGTACCCGAAAGACCCTTTTCTAGAACTGATTCAGTGCTAATTTCTTGCCAAGACCCGCTTACTCTTGTTTTCTGCAGTTTTCTTGAGCAATGTCTGCCATCTAGTGGTAAACGCTTTTATTACAATTTTATTTTCAAAAATGAGTCCCGTCCCCCCTGCCAAGTTGCCCATCCCTGCTCGAGATGGACCAAAGCTCTCAACATGGTCCCAACCGCCGGTCTCGCCTCGTGTCTGTCTCAAAGGACGTCTCTCAGCAACTGGAGAGGCTGAAGGGAGCGTTGCTCTCCCTGTCAACCGGCGCCCGGCGACTCGGCCACAGGGAGAAAGCGGAGGCGACTGTGAAGGCGTTAACCACCAGCTTGGAACAAAGCACTCGGGAAGCCAAGATCAAGCAGAGCACTCTGGAGACCCTGCTAACGGCTTGGCAAAGGTGAAAAAGAACCTTATGCGTTTCATGCAGAGGCACCTGGACTTCATCATGATTGTTTTGTTTTTTTCCCCCCATTGCTTTTGTATTTGAAATTGTGACATATGTCGCCTCTTCAATGAAGTGATTGCAAAAAATTGAGCAACTTAAGCTTGAATGAAATAGCTGAAACTTTTCCACTTTGTGGATTGATGGGCTGCAGGTTTGAGAAACAACGTTGCAACTTCATTTCCTGTCTGGAGAGGAGCGAGTGCGCCCTCAAATCTGAGTGTCGCTGCCTGTCGGCCGACAAAGCCAAGGTCTGCGGCGAGCTGCGGGACATGCAGGTGAATTCCACGCGTTTCTGCCTAACCTGAAACAAAGAAAGAGATTACTTCTCTGTTTTGTCATCTAAAATAATTTTCAGGCCTTGCAGTCGGACGTCCAGGCGCTGGGGCCCTCTCACGCTGAGCTGCTTTCTCTCGGGACGTCACTTTATCACAACGCACCGGATGAAAGGGCGAGCCAACTGAGGAAAGAGCTTGACGTCTTGCAGACGAGACTGCGTGCCCAAAATGAAGCTCTTCCAAAAAGGTTTTTAGACATTCTTCATTTCAGAAAACCACTTCGAAGCTTTTGTCCAGATCCCCAAAGCTTTCGCCACATCTCACCCTTTCTGTAGTCCTCGCGCTGGCTCACTTGTTAATTTCGGATTGCCACTCCCCACTAGAGTTCACTGTCAAACCAAACATAAAACTAAGAAAATGACATCTTTATTTAAAATCACCACAGAGCTTAGCCTTACGGGTTGCTAGCTTAACGCTAATGCGCGTCTACGTTGTGGCGCTACAGCCTTTTGAGCAACAGTTTGAACACTGACTATTTTGTAGTGGCTGAGTCTGGGGGCCAGACACAGAGATAAGTACGACTTACTTACAAATCACGAGGAATCTTCCATCCATCCATTATCCAAAAACGTTAATAATCATCGCAACGAAGAAAATGTGTTTGGTTTTTTTTTTGTCCTCCAGAATCGAGGAGCTCCAGGAGCATCTGGCCCTCCTGGAGCAGTTTGACCGCGACCTTCAGAAATTCTCCCAGTGGAGTGAGTCCATGCTTTCGAGTCTACATGCAGCTTCCCAAATCAGCATCAGTGACCTGCCCGCAGCCAACACCAGAGTAAACGTAAGTGACACGGGACACGTCAAACGCAGCCAATTCGAAACCTTTTGGGCATGGATTCAATTAGTCGCGATTGGGGGCAGGGCTGTCATGACTTTTTTGTTGTTTGTTTTTTTTACCCAAGCACATTCAATCAAATTCAGCCCTGTGATCCATTTTTGATGCGAGCCTGAAATAGCAATTTGGAAAAAAAAACGTCAAATTTTGTGTTTTTTGTTGGAACTGGAAAGAACAAACGTTACACGGATTGAATACAACCTTTGGGACCCTTTTTTTTTTCTTCGTATTTTTGATGTGAGAAGTTGAAATGTTGAGAAAAAAAAATTCCCCCTCTTTCTTTTTTTTTTTGTTAAAAAAAACATATTGAAATAATCTATATCTTTCTGATCTTTTGATATTTTATTGGAAATGGAAGATGAATGAGGCACAGATTTTTTCCCCCAAACTTTCCTTGGTAGGAGACCCAGACGGCCTTACGGAAGCAAGCTAGTGCAAAAGAGAAGTTAGATAATCAGGTGGAGACTCTCTGTCAATCCTGCGATCCCGGTGATGCGCAGCTCCTCCGTAGCCGAGTGGACGGCTGCGTCCAGCCCTACCTCGAGGCTCAGCACATCGTCCAACTACAGCTGGAGTGCCTCGAAAAGCTCGGGAACTTCCGGCAGATGCATAGCGCGGCCGTGGCGGTTTTGCAAGGCCTGCGGCAAACCGTGGAGAGCGGCGGGAGCTGGGACCGCGGCCGAGTGGAGGAGCTGCAGCAGGAGGTCTCCGCCGCGGTGCCGGACGTGTGTCGGCTGGAAACGCTGGCCGTCGACCTGGACAGCGGCCTCTGCAAAAGCCACCTGCACATGGGCGGCGAGGAAGGTTCTCGAAAGTCGTGCCGCACGCTCGCCGATTCGCTCAGCGCCGAGCTGGATGCGTTGAGGAACTTGCTGGGGACCAAGCAGAGCGAAGCCGAGGCCTTGGGGGCTCTGTGGACTTCCTTTCGACAGCGGAAAGAGCAGCTGCTCAAAGCTGTGGAGGACATTGAAGAAAAAGCCGACCATCAGAGCTTGAAAGAGCCCAGCCTTCTGGCTCTCCAGCAAAGGTAACGACATGCTCAGAGCATTTTTTTTCCCAGAACTTACAGCTGCCATCTGCTATCCTCTATGTCCGTCTCAAAGACAGCTTGGGGGGGACAAAAGGTTTTGCTGGTCGGTAAACGTGTCGAAGGTTTTCTTGCCAGATTATAATTTGATGTCCCTTGAAATTGATTTGTCGACAGGGGGTTGGGTGGGGTGCGGGGATACTGTAGATGCACCCAAATTTCCCCCCTTCTACGCCACAAGGTGGACGCATGGGCCCCCCCGCCCGCCAACCGCACCCACACCACTGACTCACAGACATATATTTTTAATCCTCTGCAAAGAATGACTATATTAGTGCCGTACTGAGGAGCTGAAAGCGAGCAGATGTATTGCATTGTATGATCCTGCTCCCAGGTGGGCCCCTCAAAACTTTTCACCCTCCCAAATGGCAAAAGTAAGGACATCCCTGACTTTGAGCTACACTGCATTCCTGTTTGTGTCAGGCTGCGCTTCTTCAATCAGCTGGAGGACGAGCTGCAATCCCACCAGCACGAGGAACAATGGCTGAGGGACAAGGCGGACCAGCTGGCCCAACGAGACGCAGAGCTCGCCGGGCAGGCGCTGAAGGAAATCGGCCTGCTGCAGACCACTTGGGAGGACACCAAGAGGCTCATTACGGAGAGGTACTGCGGGAATGTGTTTCCATGTCTGAATTAAGACACTCGTGGGAATATAATGCACTCATGATAGCAGAAACAACAAAACGATGATGGGTGGTTTTAGTCTGAATTCTTAAGAGTAGATGCAGATGCTCATTTTCGGAGTGTCACTACTGTTCACCAAATGGAACGGACAATGGGAGCATTGCGAAATTGCCCTTGAATTGAATTTCAAATGGAATCAAGATTCTTAAAATGCGCTTTGCAGTGGTGCGACATCCCCTGAAGCAAATATTGGACGCAAACACATATCTACAGACAATATACTCACAGTCATACATTCTTGATCCTCTGCAAAGAATGATTGATATTAGTGCTGTACCGATGAGCTGAGAAGAGTTAAGACATTTCAATGACCAGAAAATCTGCCTTAATCTGTCTTTTTGTTTTACTGCCCCCAGGTGCCCAAGAAAAAGCAAATGCTCATTCAGTTGATTCAGAGTGACCAAAAAAATATTTTCTTTTTTGACAGACAGGAACAGTGCAATGTTCTTGCCGAGCTCACGAGAGAATATCAAATGCTGAAATCCGCCATCAGCAGCGTTATGGAGAGCGCAGAACCTCTGTATGATATCAGCTCTGTTCTGAAGGACCATGAGGAAACCAAGCGATGCCTAAGCAAGGTCAGAACAAAAGTCCAGTTGCTCTCAACTTACTGCCAATCAACAGATCACGTCATAGCCAACTCCCGTTCCTCCATCCCCAGCACGAAGCGGTGAAGACGGCGATGGCTGACAAGCAACAGCAACTGGACCGGTTTTCCAGCAAAGGAAAACAGTTGGCCATTGAACTGAAGAAGGTGCCAGAGTGCGACTCGCAAATGGTCCGAAAGGAGACGGAGACGCTGGTGGACCAATGGCTGGATGTACGTAAAAGAAGTCCGTCGTCGGTGCACTGCGGGAACGAAGCCGATCAGCGATTGCAAATTATCCAATTTCATCAACTGTATTTGTTGGCAATTTACTCCGAAAACGGGTTTGGCAATTCTTAAGTCGTGAGTTCATTAAGATGCGAGACAGGTGAGCCGCTGGAGGGAAACGCTCGCCACTCCAGCTGGAACTAACAAACAGAACATGACAAAACTTTATAATCCGGTGCACCGTATAGTCCAATACATACGGTAATTGACCCTAAAAGTATATTCTCTTACTGATATATATGTTGATCTATCTATGTCAGCGATGTATATTGATAGGCAGAACAAACAAATGCTCTTAAGTGACTAATGAAGTTCTTGGAAAGCAGGTGTCGGAGAGGGTGGACGATAACCTCCAGCGCCTGAAGCAAAGTTTGCTGCTGTGGGAGGATGTGCGGCAAATTGCGGACGACGTCGAAAGCTGGGCCAACAGCTGCCTAACAGAACTGAACGAGAGTCTCAACAATCTCAATGACAGTCACAAGTTGGCGGCGAGACTCTCTGTGCTTCAGGTAAGATTTTTCCATGCAATCGTATCTGACTTTTCAATTAAAGTGATGAGGCGTAAAAATAATAACGAAAATAACGACTGTAATGCCCTCGCGCCTTGGCAGGGAGAGCCATCATCACGATGCACTTTTAGACGGGCCAAATTGTACGCACACAATTAAGTGAAGTAGCTGCTGTAGGCTCTAACTCCCACCTAGATGCCCACATGCACTTACCGAGTAAAAGTCGGAACTGGTTTTGTAACTGGTTGTGACACGTTTTTTTTTGGCCCATCTACTGGACTTTTTGTCGATTGGATGCAATTATCCTCCCCTGCGAACGACAATTCTGTTTGACATCCGCAGGAACAAATGGGCGAGAAGGAGCTGAGACTTGAAAAGCTGCAGAGCAAAATGGCAGAGCTGAAGAGGAGCAGTCAAAGTCAAGAAACTCCTCCAAAACTGCAAGTAGGTAGAAAACCTTCCCCATCTGTGCTCTTTTTTTTTTTTTTTTTTTGCGGCATCGACCGGTTTCACATAAAGGAACGGTAAAAAAAAAACAAAAAAAAAAACAACAAACACGCAGCTCTTGAACATGACATGAACACGCATTCTACTTTGTTTGGGCGAGAGCGGCAAAACCTTTCTTCCAACCGCTGCAGTTGCTGGAAAACGACCTGAGGAAGAAGATGGACTCTGTTCATAAGCTGCACGGGCAGGTGCGGGGAAACCTGCAGGACTTCAGCACCCAGAAGAAACTGCTGGAAGATTACATTGCGCAGATGTCCGCTTGGCTTAAGAGCATGGAGGACTCCCTGGTGTCCTCTCCCGCCGGTTCCGACCCCGAGGACATCTGCCGAGTCAAGGTGGGGCTCCGTCGCGTCTCTTCTGGCAGGCTGCGCCTTTTTTGACACGGTCCCATTTTGCATTTGTCTGTTTTATTGGGGTTGATAGGAACTTCAGAAAGAGCTGCAAAATCAGCAGGGAAGTATCGACGCCACCAGAGAAAGCCTGAACAACCTGTGCCGCAAATATCCCTCGGAGGAGCTTTCCAGTTTGGGGTCCGCGCTTAGCGAGCTCATCAAGACGTACGAGTCCGTCAACCAGGTCTCGGCCAGGACTTTGGCGTCACGGCAGAACTGTCTCCAACAGCAGTTCAATGGTGAGAAACGTCATCGCAAAGTAAACCGTGATGGAGCGTTGGCTCCCCCTTTAGGAATTTTTGTGTAAGTGTATGTGGGGACCATAAAATTTATCGGCATTGCCTTCTGAGAGAGACAAGGAGACGTGTGTTACTCTCACTTTACGGTCTGACGGTGTAGCCGCCGTCAGCCTCCAGCTAGCTCCTGGCCAGCTATCCCCGCGCAGCCGATGTGTTTCCGATAAGACAATTAATCGGTATTGATGAGGAGGAGGCAAACAGAGACGTGCTGCCACGCGCGTAGCAAACACAACAGCATGAAAAGACACTGATCAGAGAGTCAACTGCGTGATGACACACAAGGGAAGGTGCTGGGCGGGGTTGCGAAGTTGCGCAGCCAATCAACTCACGGCGATAAATCCACTCGTGCTGTCATTGGTTGACGCCGGGAACCAATCATGCCTCCAGCCAAGTACAAAACCTCCGAGTCATTCTGCATTTTTTTTTCTGAATACAGTCAGGAAAAAAAAACTCCTGTAGTGAAGCTGCGATAAATGAAGCGCGGTATAGCGAGGGATCACTGTATTTCACCCACAGTTGCGAGGTGATTCCTAGAATGAAATCTTTTGATTTGACCCGCAGATCTAGTTCAGGAATTCCATCGCTGGCTTGTGGAGCAGAGGGAGATTGTTAAAGAATGCTGCGACCGTTCTGGAGACACTCACATTGTTGAACGCAAATTGCAGAAACTGAAGGTAGGTGAACCCCCGTTTAGTCTAAATTCTGACGTGCCTGTTAGCGATGTGGCGTGGGGAACACTGATTAGAAAGCTTACGGATGGAAAGACATCCTATGTTGGTGTTTTTTTTGTTTGTTTTTCCTCAGGGTGCCACGGAGCGCATGGATGAAGGCACGGTGCATCTGACGCAGGTCTGCGAGGAAGGAGAGAAGCTGCTGCTCCATCTCCCCAAAGCCAACGCCGGCCAGGTCCAGCAGCACCTGTCCTCCATCCAGCAGGACTGGGACAGCTTTGTGGAGCAGTGCAGACAGAACCAACAGATCCTGGAGGACAGCGCATCCCTCATGAAAGGGTAAGAGTAGCGCAACTTGATTCGCAGTCCGTCTGAAACTTTGCCCCTGCTGTGGAAAACAATACAGTGGCGCCTCAACTTGGAGACGCCCCAAAATCCAATTTCGTAAACCTTTTCAACTTGCATGTTGTCAATTTCCACCTGGATTTCCACGCTGTTATTTGGCGATTTCCAGATATCATGAATTTAGCTTTGAACATAAGCAAAACTGTCTTATTGATGTGTACACAATGTTTTAATTTATGCATTTGACTGATGACAATCTCTAAAGGCTACTGCAAGTTCTTCCTAGGACATAAAATAGTTTAGTCATCTGCAAAAAGTAACACATTTTAAAAAAAATTGAAACTTTACAGATGCTGTATCCCTTATGTGTGAAATAAACAATTTGGGTCCCAAAACTGACCCCTGGAGAACACCACAAGTAGTGTTTAAGCCGCTAAAAATATCATAACTCTTCATCTTTGAATAAAATTTCATGAGCGATTGTATGAACGTTTTTTTGTTTGTTTTTTTAAGTCACTGAAAATTCCCACAGCGTATTTTATGTTTTCTATTCACCAAACACTTCAATTCTTCGAGCGTTTACTGTGACAACGTAAACATTTATCAGTAGAGAAAACCCAGAAAATGTTCCATTAAAATGTCAACCATTTCTTTGTCAGGTTTGAGGGTCGCCTGAAGAAGCTCAAGTGGTGGTTGGAGCACATGGAGAAGAGGATGACTTCAGATCTGCTTGAAGCCAAACAACGCGGTCCGGAAAAGGCTTTGCTCGAACAGGTGGAGGAATATCAGCAGGAAGTGCTCAAAGAAAGGTGCCCATCTGCCCATGTTTTTGTTGGACAACGGAACAAGTTCATAGACTTAGTTGCTGTATTGAGGTCGGTTTGACAGTCATCTTTACTGTACTTGAGTCTTTTTTTTTACTTCTACTGCCTACATTTGAAAACAAATACCTGTCCCACTTGCTATTTTGTATCCTTGTTGTTTTTTGTTTTTGTTTTTGATTTTCAACTTCCTTGATGGCGACATGTCTTACACATAAATTCAACTCAATTCCCTTACCCATAATGCACCACACGACCCAGAAATCTACAAATGGACAACATGGAGTCCAGGAAGTCAACCTGGGACTGTTTTTTGATTTTTTCCTCCATTCAGAGATTCCTTTGAGCGCTTGTGTCAGGAGGCGCAGGCCCTGAACGAAGGCGGGCGAGGCGACGGCGGCGAGACGCGCGTGTCGGCTCAACTGCAGTCGCAGCATCAGGCCTTGTTGCGACGCGGGCGCGAGAGGCTTCGAAGCTGCCAGCTGACTTTGCAGGAGCAGCAGGCCTTCGAGGAGACGCTGCAGGCCACCTGGACCTGGCTGCACGGAGTCCAGGAGCGTCTGGCCTCGCTCAACAGCACCATCGGCAACAAGGAGACCCTGGAGAAAAAGCTTGTTCTTGTACAGGTCGGACCAATGAGAAAAATGGCTCACAGATTTCTCACAGATTGTCGATCGTCTAATATTTTTGCTTTGGCTCGCGAGCTCGAACATGAGTGCTGTATATTCGCAGGCGACTCACCACACTTCACAAAAAGAGCTGCATGCATTTTTTTGGTGTACCTAAATACATGACAACATAAGACAAACAAAATAAAATTCAAACCCCCCCCCCCTAAAAAAAAAAAAAAAAGGCAATTTTTCGCTCTCCTTTAAAATTAGACAAATGCAAAACTATCGTCAAGATATCTGATTTGTATTTTTAAAACATGTTTTTTATTTATTTTATTCTATCAAGTATTTGAATCGGCCTTAAAAAAAACATATCCCTCGGGCCTTAGTGTTGTTGCTCTTCAAGCAACACATATTTGCTCAGAAGCTGGGCTCACACACAACCCACGTAGAGACAAAATATACAGGCATCTATTCCTTATCCTCTGCGTAGATCTCATATTCCCTTTTACTGACGTACCGAGAAGCCAAGAGAAGAGCTGACTCTCCACTACAACATATAGATATTTGTCTGTTTGATATTGACCTCCGGCAGAGCAAGGTGCACATACCAGAGTGAGCAGCGCATTTTTGCTGTGAAGGCATAAGTGGGACAAAAACACCAGCCGTGCATGCACACGCAATGAAAACTCTCCTCACTTCCACTTGACAGCCCAGGCTAAACTTGGCTCCTCCCTGACACACAAAGCTTGTCTCTCATTCAAGTGCCACTTCAACATGGTACTTTGTTGAGAGCAACTCTGACTTAGTCGGGGCTTTTGGGCTTGTAGCATCTTCGAGTGCCAGAAAAAGAAACTCAAAAAACACAACTATTTTCAGCAAGTAAGTGAGGAGAGGTTCGTTAAGTTCACCAACAGCGAGATATGTTAGTATTCATACGCTGGCCTCGTTGTTCGACTAGGATATCCTGCTGATGAAGGGTGAAGGCGAGGTGAAGCTCAACATGACGGTCGGAAAAGGGGAACAAGTCCTCAAGCATAACCGGATGGAAGGCCAGGAGGCCATTTGCTCGCAGCTTCAGAGTCTGAAGGACGCCTGGGCCAATATGTTGATCACTTCCATGAGCTGCCACAGGTAAGGCATGTGACGTTACGCACAAATGTCAGAATGATGGCTGATAGCAACGGCGCTACTTGCATTCCAACATCAGAATATTCTTGCGGGCAGCTATTTTGTTACGTTCACATACTTGCGCAAGAAGTCCCATTGAAATGAATGGAAAAGTTTTCCAGATTCAACTTATCCAACCCGTGCCAACATCGGCAAAATTCCGCACAATTCATGCCGGCGTTTTGAGATCCAGACCTACCAATTCACATGTTGACCATTCAACGAAACGCCGTTCGTCGGCATTCACGCGCCATTTCGGGAGTGACCGCCAAATTCCTGCTCACAGTCGACTGGAGTGGACGGTGGCCCAGTGGAGCAGCTTCCAGGAGAACAAGAACCACCTGCAGCAGTGGATGGAGTCGGCGGAGCAGGAGCTAGGCGTGACTCTCCCCCAGCAGCCCGGCCTCAAAGAGAAGGTCGCTCTCCTGGAGCGCCTCAGGGCTCTCCAGGCGGACGTGGACGCCCACGCCGCAGCCTTGTCACGTCTTACGGACAAAGCCGTGGAGCTGTACGAAAAGTCCGCCGACCAGACCTTTGGACCGGAGTCGCGGGCGGAGCTCAACGCGCAATTTGCGGATATCTCAGCCGTGGTCAAGGTAAGGCGAGCTTGCTAGCTCGCGTAAATACGCTGACAAAAAGTCTGGGGTTGCAGCCGGTTTTGGAGCGGAATTCTGGATGCAAAATGCAATGGAACAAGGAGGAAACATTCACGACAGGTGTTTTGATCCATGAAAATTTCCATTGACGTCCACTTCCTTGCCTTTCTGTGACTCTCACAGTCTCTCTATTTCAGCTACAGCTCAGTGGCCACCTCACCCAAAATATGTTTTTGTGAGTAGTCTAAATGTGGGATTCGGATTTTTAACGATGAGATCCACGTATTGTTTCTCAAAGGGTAAAATCCAGTGCATGCAAAGCATCGTGTCTGAGCATGAGCAGTACCTGGACGCCGTCAGAGACTTCAACGACTGGCTCGTCTCAGCCAAGGAGGAACTCCAGCGCTGGTCTGACCTGTCTGGAGACTCGGCCTCCATTAAAAGAAAGCTGGCCAAGGTCCAGGTGAGCGTCAGTCACATCCGTTTAGTTTACTTAACTCCCCTGTTATGTTTCGAGATTCCCCTCCGACCCCTCAAAGGCCAACATATGCATGTTTCCGTGGGAACCCGTGCATATGCAGCGGCAACACAGATTGTTCTCGGGGCTCGTCAGGGACTGTTTTTTGTTTGTTTCACAGGAGTTGCTGGACTCCAAGCAGCGAGGCCGAGAGAGGCTCAACCGGGCGCAGAGGTGCGGGGCAGCAGCAAGAGATCACACCGGCTCGGGGGGCTACGAGGCCATCGAGCGCGAGGAGGGAGCCCTGCTGTCGAGCTGGGAACAGTGGGAACGCGCGGCGCTTCAGACCCGAGCCAGTCTGGAGACGGCCCTCTCTCAGATGACCACCTCCGAGCAGGAGTTCAGCAGTCTGTCAGGGCAGTTGGAGCAGGACATGCAGGACTTTGGGCGTCACCTTCACGACTGGCGTCTCCAACTGGGGCAGGCCGAGGGCAAAACTGATGGAGAGGACGCTGTGAAAAGCTGGCAGATTGCAAAGGTGGGTTTGATATCTGGCTCGTAGAACTACGGAGGCGTGGAACTGCCGATCCGGAGTAAAAATATTTTAGTCCCTCGACTTACAAGCTTGTTCAAACGTATGTTTCGTTTGCACGCACTGGCAGTTCCACACTTTGTACATAAGAGCCACAGAAAAATAAAACCCTTGTTGTTCCCCAGGACACATTGGAGGAGCTTGTCAAAGCCGAGCCCATGTGCGATAGCCTGAAGACGCAGCTCAATGATCTGTGCCGCTTCTCCAGAGATGTGGCCGCCCAGTCTGACAGAGTTTCTGCCCTCATTAAGGAATACAACAGGTAATAAGTAATGCGGAATTGGACTTGCAAGGGGTGGACATTTTCCAGCAAATGTCCATTGTTTCCATTTAAAAAAAATAAAATAAAAATGCGTGATAGGTCCCACCACCCCTAAACAAAATTCCCACCATATAGCAAATACTCAAAAAGTGAACCACGATATAACAAGTGATGATTTCACCTCTCACTTAAAGTCAGTTCTAATGAGGTCAAGCACGATTTAAAATGCATGGATGGATGATTTGCTATTTTTTGGGGGGGGGTTGCTCCTAGTTTGAGTCTCCGAGCTGCCAGGGAGTGCCAAAGCAAAGAGAAGTTGCAGGAACAGGGATTCCGCTCGGCCTACAGGGAGTTCCAGCAGTGGTTGGTCAACACCAAGATCAACACGGCCAAATGCTTCGACGCACCCCAAAATCTCTCTGAGGCCTCGACGAGCTTGCAAAAAATTCAGGTAACTGGTAATTGAGTATTCTGAGAAGGAACAGATGTACTACAAATGCTAAATTTCAAGCTAACTTTGGAATCAAACAATGGAAATTGACATTGTAGCAAATGTCCAAAGCTAGCGTTGGACTTTTTTTTTTTTTTTTTTTTTAATAGATCATGCTGAATGTAATGTTAAAGCTAACATTGAAAGTTAACATTTAAAAGATTAAAGATGGGCAAATTTACGTTCACCTCTGAAATTTCACCCGATATCCCAATATCTGTAACTTTTCATCCATAGTGTAGATTGTTTTCTCATCATGGTCGCTTCCTCCTCAGGAGTTTCTAAGCGACAGAGAGCTGGGTCAGTCCAAACTCAACGGCGTGGTGGTCACGGGTGAGCTTCTCTCCATGATCGCGGCCAAAGACAAAGTGGAGTCGGTTCGGACGAAGACCAATCATGCTCTTGAGGATTGGAAGAATATCATGTCCAATCTTCACAACAGAGAGCTCAATCTTCAAGTGAGCAAAAATCAGGTTATCATGGTTTTCAAAAGAAGCAAGCTAACAGAAGAGTTGTTGTTTTTGGTTTCAGAACCTCGTGTCACAGATGAAGGACTTTGAAGCCAGTGCTGAGCCCCTCCAGGAGTGCCTGAATGCCACCGAGATGGCCGTGCAGGAGAGCAGCGCGAGGCTTCACGATCTACCGGCCAAGAAGACGGAGCTCCACAAACTACAGGTAGGCACGCTTGAAAATTGCTCAGCTCATCTTCACCCACCATGTACACATCAGGTCAGCATTCCATCCAGATAATATTTGAAGCTCACTTTGGAGCGAACGTTAGAACCTAACGTTGGAGCTAAAATGTTGAAGCTAACTTTGGAAGCTACATTAACATTGCAAACTAATGTTCTTCCTTCGGTCTGAAGTGAGAGCTCATGATAGAGGTAATATTGGAAGCTAAACTCAAAAGTTAACGTTAGGAGTTAATGTTGACAAGCTTATTCGAATAATAACTTTGGGACCTAACATTGGTGGCAGCGTTGGAAGCTAAAGTTGAATATAATGTCGGATGCAAACTTTGGGCTTCATCTCCAAGGTTAGACATAATTGGAAGCTAACTTTAGAAGCTAACATTCGGGGTAATTTTGAAGATAACATTGGAAGCTAACGTTAAAGATGACGTGGAAAGCTAATATTGGAGGAAACATTGGAAGGTCATTTTGAAGCCAAAGATGGAGCTAAACTCTGAAGCTGTTATTTAGCTCTAATGGCCCACTGCCTCTGTCCAGCTTGTGCTCACTGCCCATAAAACGCTGCCAAGTCTCTGCTCTTAATCCTCACATTGGTGTTGCTCGCTTTCCTTTACGGCTACGTTTTAAGTCCTCTAACCCCTCTTTGGCAATACCTATCTTTGTTTCTTCTTGCATGCTTTCTACCAAAACCTGCTTGTGCCCTTTCAGTCTGTGCTGGAGGAGCTAGCCTCCCACCAAGTCCAGCTGAGCAGGCTAAAAGAGAAGGCCCAGCGGCTGTTGGACGAACACGCAGCTGGCAAGGGTTTTGTGCACCGTGTCTCGCAGCTCTCTGCTCAGTTCCTAGCTTTAACCAACCTGACCAAGGTACAGTAACTTGCAAGTTGTCTCTGGGTACTGATAAATGGGGGGCCGGGGGCATTCGCAACAGGGCTGATTTAAAAAAATAAAATAAAATGTATTTTATAAGACCAAAGTCTGAATGCGAGAAAAACATTGAAACTTGGGAGAGAATTAAGTGTCACGATGATGAGGAAAGTTTTCTTATTTTATCATTTATTTTCGCTCAACAGGAGAAGGCGTCACGGATCGACCGCATCGTGACCGAGCACCAGCTGTTCAACCACGGGCTCAAGGAGCTGCAGAACTGGGTGGCCGACACGAGCCACATGTTTCAGACCTACTGCGCCCCCACGGCTGACAAAAATGTCCTGGACAGCCGGATGATCAAGCTGGAGGTAGAGCGATTCCGACACCTGCATAGCTTTATCGGCCTTTTGGTGACATACGTAGCTTCCGAGCAGGACAAAGTGATTGATGGCATCATAGCGGGGGCGTTTTCATCATGGGACCCCGTGGCGATTGATTGTTCCAGGCCTTGCTGACTGCCCGCCAAGAGAAGGAGATCCAGCTCAAGATGCTGATCACCAGAGGGGAGTCGGTTCAGAGAAACACCTCGGGCAGTGGGGTGATTGTGCTCCAGGAACAAATACAGGAGCTGAAAGACTCCTGGGACGCTTTGCTCTCCGCATCCATTCAGTGCAAAAGGTGAGGAATAAATCACACTTGATGAATCTCAGAGATCTCCAAAGTGCAGACACTTGTGTTCAAAACACTCTCGTCAAATGGAAGTATTGATTCAAGTGCTCCACTGAAGTGATTCTAACGACTGATTTCTCCTCTGAACCAACAGCCAACTGGAAGCTTCTCTGTCCCAGTGGACCAGTTACCAGGAGGACGTGCGGCAGTTTGTGAGCTGGCTGGAGCACGTGGAGGAGAACCTGGACTTGGCTGATAAACTGTGTCCCGAGATGCGAGATAAAACCGCTAATCTCAGCAGAGCCAAGGTGACACGGTCGCTCTCTGTCTGGAGCTTTGTGTGCTGCAAATATCAAAAACCTGACACGTCACTTTGGGGATCAGTGCCAGTGGTGCTGTTTCGCTTTGTTTACATTTGTAAGGTACCCTACAGCAACAACAAAAACACAAAAAATAAACATAATACAAAAAAATAAAATACATTATACTCACCAGATTGTTCGCAGATTTTGTTATTGTTGTTGTTGTTGTTGCTCCTTTAAAAGAAAAGTAACTGTTGAACAATATGTAAATATCCATGGAGGCTGATTAACCATTATACCGAATTGGATTGTAGTTTATTTAAGCACCCGTCAGCTTGCCAGATAGCAACAAACTTCCTCGGGCTGAACGATTTTGAAAAATAATCTAATTGTAATTTTTCGTTGTTTTTTTTTTTTTTTTTTTTTTATTTATCTCGCATTGCCAATGTTTTTTTTTTTTGTAGCCTCCATGTTGCGATTGCCAATGTTTTTTTTTTTTCCCCAAGGTCCTCTTCTCAATGACAAGCAATAAATGAATCCATATTACAATGCTTTGCAAATAAATAGAATATACTAAATAAATAAATAACTATAGACTGATTTATTTCTTTTTATTTTTTTTCACAAATTGCACCCACAGCGATTTGAAAATTGCATTCCACGACATTGTGACTTTGATTTAAATTCTTCAGCCTTACTTGGCTCACACCATTTCCCCCCCCCAGCTAATAACTGAGCCTTGCTGTGGTTGCAGCTGTTGTACGAGGAAGTGCTCGGCCACGACGGCCCGCTGGCCACCATCGTGGCAAAGAGCGCGAGCATCGCCGAGAACTACGTGACTCAACTGGAGCTGCAGGAGCTACAAGAGCGCTACAACGGCATCAAAGACAACGCGATGGTAACCAATGTTTGCCCTCCCCAAAATTCGATGGGCTGCAACGGATTACGGCATTTCCATTTCAATTGATTTTTGATTGTTGTGGTTTCAGTCGCGAGCTCGGTTGACGGAAGAAATTAAACTCTGTTAAGGTTTCACTGTATTTTGAAGCAATACCGGATGCCGGCGCTTGTTTTTGACCCCAGGGGGCCGTTGGCAAAGCGGAGGAGCTGGTGAAAGCTCACGAAGAGTATCAACAGGGCCTTCAAGCATTTGAGGACTGGCTGGAAGAGGAACAGGAAAAGCTGGGCTGCTACACTCAGCTGGAGGGCGACGTCGATATGCTGGAGGAGACGCTCCAAAAACTGCAGGTCGGAACATCTTTGAGGACTTTGCTAGCTGCGCCTTCAAGGAGACATTTTTTGTTTGTTTTTACTTTTACAACTGAAATCTGTTCCCCAGAGTTTTAATGTTTATGACATGCTTTTTGGGCGGCCCGGTGTCCGAGTGGTTAGCGAGTCGACCTCACAGTGCGGAGGTGCCTGGTTCGATCCTGGCTCCGGGAGTTTGCATGTTTTCCTCGGGCCTGCGTGGGTTTTCTCCGGGTACTCCGGTTTCCTCCCACATTCCAAAAACATGCACGGCAGGCCGATTGAACACTCAAAATTGTACCTCGGGGTGAATGTGAGCGCGGATGGTTGTTCGTCTTTGTGTGCCCTGCGATTGGCTGGCAACCGGTTCAGGGTGTCCCCCGCCGAATGCCCGAAGACAGCCGGGATAGGCTCCAGCACCCCGAGGATCAGCCATTGTAGCTGAATTTTCCAGCCTTTATTTAGTCAAGGCAATGCTGCATCTCCCCTTTTTAATTGCATTTTACATGATTTTTTTTTTTTCTTTTGTCACCACAGGAACTGCAGCTGCACTGCACCGAGGGCCAGGCTCTTCTCAACACCCTGCTGGTCAGCCGAGAGCTGGTCACTCCCTGGGGGACCCCGCAGATCGAAGAGCGAGCTGTGGAGACGCAGCAGCAGGAGTGGAGGCTGTACCAGGCCCGGCTGGCCGACGCCAGGGCTCAGCTCAACAGCGCCTTGGCCAAACTTCGGCAAATGGACCAGAAGTTCCAGCGTCTGGACAGCTGGCTGAAGGGCATGGAGACCAAAGCGCAACTGCGAGGCCACCGCCGCTCCGACCGCGCCACCAAAGATGCCCAGCTCCAGTTGCTCAAGGCTCGTGGTCGCCATTAGCCTGTGCGGCTTTCGGGCTGGCATCGCTCATCTCCTTTCCTTTGTGCAGACGTGGCAAGAGGAAGTGCTGGTTTATCAAGAGGAGATGGAGGGCCTCAGTGTTTTGGCTCAGCAAGTTCTGGATGAGACCCGTATTAGCAGCCGCATCAGTACCAGAGCAACCCAGATCACAGCCCGCTACCATGCCTTGCTCCTGCACTTACTGGTTCGCTTCACTTTTTGGGCGTTAGAGTGAATGTAACATGAATGATTTCTGAATTTTGAAACGCTATACTTATTAACCTGGATTTAAAAACATTTGCACTGAACCCACTTTAGTTCTGGTGGTAGCTTCTACCATTTGCATCATCACAGTTAAATACTGATGCACCATGTTTGCTTTGAACTGCTGACCTCAGAACCCTACTGAGATGAAGTAAATTATTATCAAGCACTATTTTTCCTTATTAATAAAACAAAGACAAAAAGGTTTTTATTTTCTCATTTCCGTTCTTTTTCACTGAGTTTCACATAGCGCTCAGTTTTTGCCTGTTTCAACTTCTCCAGTGTATCTAGAAACAAATTTCTGAATTTACTTGACAGGCAGGGTCTTTAAATGTTGAGAATGCCACAAATTGTACCTCGACTTTGTCCTTTTTGGTTGCAGGAGACAATCAAGCAGCTGCAGGAGGAGGTGTCCTGCATCGAGGAGGCACAATGTGTCTTCAGCACGTTCTCGGACTGGCTCCTGGCGGCTCAGAACAGCCTCCGCGCCTTGGCCGGAAGTGCAGACGTGGTGGATCGCTCCGCCATGGAGAGAAAGATGAAGAAGCTCGAGGTAGATTTTCTTGATTATTGTGTCGGTCGGCGCATCTCGGAGATGTTCAGTTGACCATTTTGGGTTTATGCTCAGGCGCTTCAGGCGGACATGGAGCAGGGACATGGCAACCTAAAGACCGTCAGGGAGAAGACGGAGCGAGCCGCTGTCTTCTTAGAGGAAGTCGAAGCGGAGCAGCTGAGGGAGGAAGTGGACGGCCAGCTGGGCCGACTGGAGGACCTGCTGGCTGCTCTGCGCGCCCAGCAGAACGCTCTGGAGAAGTGCATCTCGCTCTCCAAAGACTTTGTGGATAAATACAAGGTCCAGGCCCAGTGGGTGCTGGAGACCAAGGGCCTGTTGGCATCCGGCGTGGAGCCCAAAGCCGAGCTCTATCAGAAGAAGGCCCAGCTTGCCAAGTACAAGGTAGACGAAAGCACCTCCGTCGCTCGAGACGTAAACAATTTGAACTTGGAATAACAACTATTCCTCAAATCTATCATGTCTCATCCGTGTGAATGAACGTGCTTACGTACCCCTGCGCTGTTTGCAGACCATCCAGCAGATGGTGCAGTCGCACGAGTCGGCTGTGAAATGTGTGATGGAGAAGGGGGAAGCCCTGCTAGATGCCGTCCACGACCCAATCATTAGTGACAACATGAATAGCTTGCAAGCAGACTTTCTGGAGCTCTGCTTGTTAGCCAAGGTACCCATCGCTCAATAACGTCACACTGCGCAGCTGCGCCTCTCGCGCTTGTGACTCTGTGACCCACGGTGTTTCATTTCAGACGCAGGTGCAGAACCTGCTGGAGTGGGTGAAGGAGCATGAGGATTACAACAGTGAACTGCAGGAAGTGGAGAGATGGCTCCTGCAGATGTCCAGTCGGCTCGTCACGTCTGAATCCATGCAGACCAGCAGCATGGAGATGGCCACCCAACAACTGGCCCGGCACAAGGTGACTACTGAGGTCTCAGGAGGCGCGTGACTGACTCGGGTTGCAGAAGCGGTGGAAATTGAACGGGACTTGTCAGGAAAGTAGATTTTCATGGGAATTTAAGATGAGGAATTTTGGAAATACATTCGTGTCTTGAGCTGTAACTGTTTTTCGAGATACAATATAAGTAACCCAAAGGAGGCGACAAGCTGTCACTCCCTGTTCAAGTTCACTATCAAATTGTGAATAAAATAAATTTGTACATACAAGTGAATTACACATTGTGTAGCTAAACCACCGCATAGCCTCTGCTAGCTTAATGCTAACAATGGGAAATGGCGTAGAGATGGGCGAATGAATAGGAAAAAAAATTATTAGACCACCTTGTTCTCTTCAATTTCTTGTTCCTTTCAATGCCTGGTACAACTGCAGGTGTGTCATGTGAACAGGCCTCGGGATTATGCTAAACTTCCAAATGAAATATTTTCACCACGATATTTAGATTCTTCTATTAAGAGTCAACCTTCAGTTTTGTAAATTTCTCCAGGCCATTATGGAGGACATTGCCAGTTTCGAGGAACGTCTCACCATCTTGAAGCAGAAAGGAGAAGAACTGGTCTCAAGCTGCACCGACCAAGTCCAAGCCAAGATCAGCCAACAAGTCCGGGCTCACCATCAGGGTACCAGGGATAGCTACTCCGCCATATGCAGCACGGCTCAACGGGTGAATAATGCCATCCTCCTCTCAGTAGATTTTTGGTAGTCCTCAACATTCAGGGGGAAAAAAAAAGTCTTTCATCCTGATAATTCTGCTCGCAGGTCCAGCAAAGTCTGGACCGAGAACTCCAGAAACATGTCAACCACCAGGATACCCTCCAGCAGTGCCAGTCGTGGCTGACAGCTGTAGAGGAGGAAATCCGGCAAAATCACCAGGAACCATCCGGGCTGCAGGAAGCACTTAAACAGGTCACACAAAAAGATGCTACGAGCTGTTTACTGCAAGGGTCGACTGTAGTATGATGGTCACAAGGCTTGTTTCTTGATGTTTGAAGGTGAAGCATAACAGGGCCCTCCAGGAGCAGGCCAGCACCTACCTTGACCTGGTGTGTTCAGTATGTGACCTGTCCGACGACGCCGTTAGAGTGACAGCGGCTGAGGTCCAGAGGGTCAAAATTACTGTAAGAACAGTCAACCTCCATTCATCCTGGGGAATCCACGACATAGCAAGACTACATAATTATTTTTTTTAATTTGCTTAGTCACGATCTTGCATGATGTTCATTACTAGCGTTCATTTTTTTTTTTTTTTTTTAATTGTAGATTGAAGAAAGGATGTCAAGTGCTCAGGAGCTGTCGGAGGGCTGGAGGGAGATTAAGGAGCAGAAGCAAGATCTGACCAGCCTGTTCCAAGATATGGAGCAGCAACTCCTCAGTCTGTCCAGAAGACCTGCAGAGTTGGAAACTAAAATAGCCCAAAACATGTTGTCTCAAGCCAAGGTAGCTTTAGTTTTCCAGTTTTAGACTGCATTTTCCCCAACGACATTCATTGCAAATGATCTCAAACGGTGCACGGTGTTAACTTGCCTTTCAAGTCGAATTCATTCCACGACCATGCGTGTCATGTCAATTACTTGTACATCAAAGCAACTTTCCCTTTTGAAACGAATGGAAATGCCGTTGATATGTTCCAGCCCTTTCAGACCATGCACTTGACCTATTCACAATATGCAGGAATGCAGCCAGCAGCTCCAGTCCAAGCAAAATATCCTGACCAAGATGACAGAGAGAGTGAGCAGACTGTCTCCGTGCCAAGACTCTGCAGAGCATGCAGAGCTGGACCGCCTGAGTCATTCCTGGCTCGAACTTTGCCACCAGGCCAGCAGGCTGCAGGTCCAGAGACAGGAGGATCTGCAGAGATCCAAAGAGTACCACGACTGCATTTCTGCAGTAGAGGCACTCTTCGAGCGGGTGTCCAAAGAGTGGGACAACCTGGCCAGGTATGCGTAATCTGATAATTAGCATACAATCAGCAGTGTCAAACTCAATCTTAGGGCGACCCTGTTCAGGATAACTCATGTTAAAAATGGATGGATGGATGACGACAGACGTTATCTGCTAGCCAGACGATGAGCTGCGCTTCGTCCCCCCCCCCCGCCCCCCCCAATAGACTAGGGATGTGGCAACTTCCCATCAAATGAGCCAATCATTGGGGAAGAGGCAGTGAAGGCATGAACCTCCCGTTTTTTTGTAGAGGGCATGGATGCATTCAGTTTTACCGCTTTCAAACCAACAACCTCCATGTCCAGAATTTGGACATTGTTGTCCTGAAGGGAACGTGACTTCTTTTTGAAACACAAATGAATTGTTGATTCTGGATCCGAAGAAGCTGCTCTTCTATGGTGTGCCATGCATTTGTGCAGAGATATCTTGGTCTCTCAAATATACCCATCATACCTATTCTTTCTTTTTTAATGCAGAACTGATGCCGAAAGCTCCTCTCAGCATTTGGAGGCGTTACGCAAACTGGCAGCAGACTTGGAAGAGCAAAAGGGGACACTCGAGGAACTCAAGGACCAAAAGCAAAAAGTCATCCAGTGCTTGAACCTGGACGACAAGGAACTGGTGAAAGAGCAGATCAGCCACTTTGAACAACGATGGTCCCAGATGCAAAACCTCATTGAGAGGAAAATCCAGGACTCTGTGGTGACCCTAGAGGAAATGGGCCAGGTGGAGGCTCGTCTGAGGGAGGCCCGGGATTGGGCCGAGGAACAACAGCCCGCCTTGTCCGAGGCCATGAAAATGAGTCCTCCTCCGGAGTTGGCTCAGAGTTTCCTCTTCGACCATCTGAGCATTTGCAGCGAGTTGGAGGCCAAGCAACTCCTGCTGGCCCAAGCCATGGCCGACTCTGACAGGGTTTTGGCCCGTCTGGGTCTCAGTGAACGACAATGTCTGCAGCAGCTGATTTCCGACACCCAGTCGGAGGTTGAGTCCCTGAGCGTCAAAGTGGTGCAGCGCAGGAAACACCTGAGCAAGGCTTTCACCGAGAGGACTCAGTTCCTTATGGCCGTCAACCAGTCCATTTCCTGGGTCCAGCAAAATGAGAAAAAGGCCCAGGCTGAAGAGTACATCGCCTTGTTACCCGAGGACCTCGCCAAGCAGGTCCGGACCTGTCGGAACGTCCAAAGCAGTTTGAAAGCTTACCAGAGTGAGCTGACGTCCTTGTGGTCTCAGGGGAGAGACTTGATGAGGGATGCTAACGAGGAAGAGAGGAATGAGATTCTCACAAAGCTCCAGGAGCTGCAAAACATCTTCGATAAAACTCTACACAGGTGTGGCCAGAAACTTCAGGAACTGGAGAAGGTCTTTGTCTCGAGAAAGTACTTCAAGAATGACCTGGAGAAAATATGCCAGTGGATAAAACAAGCTGACATCGTCACGTTTCCTGAAATCAATCTCATGGTTGGCGACGCTGAATTAGAGGCGCAGCTGTTCAAATACCAGCAGGTAGTCGAGCAGGCAGTGGAGTACGAGAACCTTCTCCTCATTGTGCAGAGAGCAGGCCAGGAGATTTTGCCCACCCTCAATGAAGTGGACCACTGCTACTTGGATGAGAAACTCAATAGCCTACCACAGCAATACAACAATATATTAGCGTTAGCCAAAGAGAAACAGGAGAAAATCCAACAGGCTATTTTCACAAGGAATGAGTACACCTCTTTCATAGATGTCACGCAGAGAGCGCTGGAGGAGCTGGAGGAGCAGTTCAACCATCTGGGCACGCAGCCGGTGGGCTTGCAAACCGAGGAGGTGGTCAGTCTGCAGGGAGATTACAAAGCCATCCAAGCCGATCTGAGCAACCTGGGTCTTGCTGTTAGCGAGCTCAACCAGAAGAAGGAAGGCTTCCGTAGCACCGGACAACCGTGGCGCCCCGAGGAAATGACCCAGCTCACCGGCCTTTACAACGGCCTAAAGAGGCTGGTGGAACAGAAAGTGGAGCATCTGGATGAAACTTTGGAGTCGTTTGAGGACCAAAAGGCAATGGCCATGCAAGTTGACTCCGAATTAAAGGCAACCAAGGAGCAGCTGGTGAAGGTCAACGCTGAGACTCAGTCTGCGGAGGAGAGACTAAAGAACTATCACGCTCTCGCTGGGAGCCTCCAGAGTGCCAACTCGCACCTGTCTAGGCTCATGGAGCAGATGGGAACTCGTCCTCCACGCTTGGACCAAACGGTCCACAACGCCTCAAAGGAGCAAGTGGTCCTGTGGCAGGAGGAGCTGCGATCCTTGCAGGCCGCGGTCGGCGACCTGATCGAGGAGTGCGAGAACCGTTTCGTTCAGAGTAAAGACTTTGAGACTGAAATGCAAAGGACGCTGGACTGGCTGCAGCAGGTCCGGGATGAGATGGGTTCTGCCGTCACCGTAGACATGCGGGTGGAGAAGGTGCAAGAAGAGATCAGGAAGCAACAAATCATGCAGGAAGAAGTTCAGTCCAGACTGAGGATTGTGGCGGCTCTGAGTAGCAGGGAGAAGCATAAGTACACCAGCGCCAATGAACTGCCGCCCACCCGCATGGATGCCAGTCTTGGAGAAATGGCAAAGCTGCAAGCAGATGTTCAGAAACAGCTGAGTTCCAAACAGGTCCAACTTCATTTTATATGTCTGCCATGAATGAGCATTTAGGGTTGGGGTTGAATTCGGGTTTAGGTCTGGTTTAGGGGGTTCTAAACATGCCTTTTGTATTGGCTTTGTTGCGAAGGTGACCTTGGAGCAGGCCCTGCTCTTGTGCCAGAAGTATCACTTCAGGATGCAGGCGGCCTGCGAATGGCTGGAGGACGCCGTGTCCTTCCTGCAACAGGCCGGCTTGGGCGTGGACGTGGAGAACTACGAGGAGTGTCTGAGACTGCAGGACGGCATCGTGGCCACTGAGCAGGAGTTCCTCATCCACCTGGAAGAGTTGGAGAGCCTTGTGCCCCAGCTGGAGGACCTGGTCAACCCCGTAGCCAAAGGACAGCTGCGGGTAAGCGTGGATTCAGCCAAGCAGAGAGGCCTGGAGGTCCGGGATCAGATCCAGTGTCATCAGGCTGTTCTTCACAGGTAAGTGGAAGCAATATCGTCCGTACAGCATTTGCATTTGTCTCTTGAGACCAGCGGTTCTCAAACTGGGGTCCAGAGATCCCTCGGGGTCTACGTGGTGTTGCTCGAGTGACCGCAAAATCATTTGTGACTAATTATATTGTGGTATCATTTTATAAAAGTGCATCTCCACATATAAAACTGATATGCCAATCAAACAAACCAATGAATACTCTGTGTCTGAGCTTTGGGCCAATGAAAAGCTCAGAGATGATTATTATGTCTCATCACATAAATCTGGTGTCTGTGCATGAATAAGGTAAGTTTAAAGTAGGTCTGTAATGACAGGAATAAAGTCCGATTTTTATATTCATAAATGAACGGGACATAAGGTCGTTTTGTTTCATAGCATTACGATTATGAGGGGAGGCTTGGAAAAATCCTTCCATGTGAGGAGTTCCTGGATCCAAAAAGTTTGAGAACCCCACATTAGACGCTGCCTGATGAATGTCTCTTTTCAGCTGCGTGGCTCAGTGGAAGTCGTACCAGGAGACGCGGCAGACCGTCATTGAGATGATGAACGAAGCTGAAAAGAAGCTCACTCAATTTTCCACCGCAAAGGCAGCAACCAGCCAAGAGGCCGAGGACAAGTTGCACAGCCACCGGGTAGGAAAGCTCGCAACGGAATGTAGAAGAGCGAACATGGCAAATCGTTGTCGGACACAGCCAGGACTCGCAAGAAATTCCTGCCGCGACCTTCTTGTCTTTTATGTGTTTTTAGTCCTTGGTCTCACTTGTCAACGGCTTCCAAGAGAAGCTGAGCGGTCTGGAGGAGCAAGCGGGTCAGCTGGAGCAGGTGGGCAGCGACGCTAGCAAAGCCACCATCAGTCGCTCCATGACCACCGTGTGGCAGCGCTGGACCAGACTCCGCAGCGTGGCCCGCGGCCAGGAGCGAGTTCTGGAGGACACGGCGCAGGAATGGAGGACTTTCAGAGAGAAGGTAAGTTCGCGAAAGACCGAAGGCAGCCGCACATCGAGCCACGCGGACTGAATGAAACGGATAATTGCCTGGTGACAAAAGATGGCAAAGGTGCGAACGGTGGCGGACGAGCTCCGGGGTCGAGTGCCGGACAGCGCGGTGGAGAAGGCCTCCAAGGCCACCCTGCAGTCTCTGCTGGAGCAACACGACGTCCTGAGCCAAGACTTGGAGAGAGAGCTGTCGTCTCTGACTCTGCTGCGCCAATACGCCCTCAGCCTGCTGCACGACGTGGAGGTGCCCTCGCCCACTAGTGAGCAGGAAGAGCTCCCCAGCTTGAAGGAGATCAGGGCTGTGCAGGACCACATGGACAGGTACTAACGCCACAAACTCGATTTTGACTTTTTTTTGTTTCTTGTCCACAGGCGTGAACGCCTGACCTGGTGTATGTCGTCTCGAGTGCACTTCACTTGCCAAAAGTCAGCTTTGCTGTGTGCTTTTTATTTTCTTTTTGTGTCTAGCCTCCTGACGCAGTCCAGGACCAAGCGATCTCAGGCCGCTCAGGAACTGAAGGACAGAGAGGAAGTGGAGCGAGAACTCAGCGTGGTGAAAGCCTGGATTCAGGAGACGAGGGAGCTTCTTTTCAACCCCACGCCTGACATCGACTCTCTGCTTCAGGAACTGGAGGTATGAAGGAAAGTGGACTTACAAAAGTGTAAATTTGATGCATTTAAGAATATATGGTGAGGTGTCCCACTGGGTGGAGGCCCCGAGGATGACCCAAGACGCGCTGTGGGGGTCTATGTCTCTCAGCTAGCTTGGGACAGCGTCGGGATCGAAGAGCTGGCCAAGGTACCTGGAGGGAGTAAAAAAAATCGAGGCTGCTGCCCCCACGACCTGAACTCAGATAGCGAAAGAGGACGATGACGAGGAGGATACATTTCACCGATTTCAGCCACATTATATTTTGGTTAACGAAGAGAAACGAATGACTGCACACTGAGGTGACTTGGTTCGGGAATGGATTAATTCTATGTCCATTCATTTCAGTGGAAAAAAACTGCTTCAGTTTGCAAATTTTTTTTGGGGGGGGGGCAGTGTTACTAAGTCAATTTAATTGTCCCAAAGCATTCCGAATCAGTTGTGCTGACCTATTAACCCGAAGCTACATTAGGACCGTTTCTTTCACCAATCAGATTTCAAATTTGCCTCACAGGACCAGCTGGCTGGCCCACGATGACGTCAGCATTTTTCGTCCTCTGATTCATTGGTCAGAGCAAGTCTGCTGGCATTTTACAAAATCTCATCTACTTGACGCTTGCAGGTGGTCCATGGAGACGTGATCACCTATCGGCAAAACTTGGACAAATTAGCCGAGCAGCAACAAAGCAAGTACCTGGATCTTTACACCATCCTGCCTTCTGAAATCTCCATGCAGTTGGCCGAAGTCTCGCTGGCTTTGGGGGCTATTGAGGATCAGGTGCAATACTATTTTTGCCAAACTCAATGCTGCACTCTGTGTCGTATTTTTCATGCGTTACCTCGGTGCCTTTTAGGTTCTTTCCAAAGAGAGAGAAATCCAGAAAACCAGAGAAATCAAAGAGGAGTTTAGTTCCAGAATCCACGAGGTCTCGGAGAAACTCAAAGCCATCTCCGCCAAATTCAAGGACAAATCTCCAGAGGTTGACCAAGCAAAAGAAGAGGTCAAGGTAGATAACCGATTTATCGAGTGCGGGTGGGTCTGGAATGGGTCCCCCGCAATAAGTGAGGGTTGGCTGGAAGATTTCCCTCCATACAGTCTGTTTTTTTTTTAATGGTTCCAGAGTCTCGCAGAGGACTTGGACTGCTGTGGTCATTCTCTCTCCGAGCTGGACGCGGCCGTGCAGGAGTTTGGCCGCCGTAACCCTCTGCTGGCCAAGCAGCTCAGCGACGCCATCGGGAAGCTTTCAGAGATGCACCATCACACCACCCGACTCGCCGACTGCCGCAACAACTGGCTCAAAAAGGTTTTGAACTCGGACCGCATCTGTACAGGCCTCGGCAGAAACTTGCAAAATCCACTTTGCCTTTCCTCTTAAACATTGATTCGGAATTAATCGAGCACAGCGTGCTGTCAATACATTTTGAAGTGGTTCACAAATTGAGAGACAACAATTATGAGGATTGGCTGCGGCTTTGGAACTTGGACTCAAAAATCTACTACAGTGAAGAGTATGTAAGGGTTTGTCGGATGTGGATTTGTTAGTTGCTCACCATTTTATTTGCTGTCCAGGCCGTTTGCTATTTAGACGAATACCACGAGATGCTGGACTTCATCGTGAGGTGGTCGGAGAAAGCCAAGAGCCTGGTGAGGGCCAATGTCATCTGGAACTCGTCGGTTCACCTCCAGGAGCAGATACGCATGCACCAGGTGGGTGGCAGACAGACAAAGTTTTAAAAATTTTATATGGACATTTTGGTTTAAAATCTCATTTACAAATGACTTGGTCCAACTGTTCATTTCAAAATCTTGGCCTCAAAAGTTTCCCCATGCACCGCCGGACAACGCAATTTTTGAATGGTCTTTCCTCAACTTCTGCTCTGAATCCAACCCAACATGAACCCGTCAATGGTCTCACTCAGCCCGACCTGATTCTGGCGGGATTCTGGTCCTTCACTCACAAACGCTGATTTGGGTCTCCTCGCCAGGCTGTTCTGCGAGAGTCCCGCAAGCTCCACGTTGACCTGGAGTCCATGGCGGAGAAAGTGGAACTCCTGTCCGAGGTCCTGCACGTGGAGTCCATGAGCCAGCAGGTGTGCGAGCTCAGCCGGCACACCGAGGAGCTCCAGCAGAGCATCAAGACGCGGCTGCAGAGCTTGGAGGACGCAGAGAAGGTGCGGAGGGCTCACTCACTCCTCTTCCTTTGCAAATCCGGCTCCTTTCATCTTAGGCAGCTGGCTCAAGTCAAGCGTCTCCTTTCTCAAGAGCACTTTGAAACAGTCATTCATGCCTTCGTCACATCCCGGCTAGATTACTGTAATTCACTTGACTTTGGAGTCAGCCAATCCTCCATGAAGCTTCTCCAGTTGGTCCAAAATTCTGCTGCTCGCCTCATGACTGATGCTCATAAGAGAGAGCACATAACTTCTAGTCAAACAAATTCACTAAACATGGATTAGTCGCTACAATTGAATCGGTCGATGAAATCAATTCATGGCCCAGCCCGAATCCAGTCAAAGCCATCGATTTCCCAATTCCCTCAGAGTATGGACGCGCTGGAATGCGAGGTGAAGGTGTTGCACGTGGCTCTGGAGCAGGTGCAGTCCACACTAACGTCCCCTGAGCTGGCACGTCAGAGCCTCAAAGAACAGCTGCTACAGAGACAGGTAACCATCCGAAGAGACGTGGAAAAAAATGCAACGTTCAAGCTTCATTTTTTTCTGCTTGTCCTTCAAGCTAGTGTCACATTCCAAAATGGATGAAATTCATTTTTACTGGACAACACACACTTGTTTTTTTGTTTGTTTTTTTTTTTTTCATCAGCGTTTGATGGCGGACATGGAGAGTTTGAAGCAGCAGGTGCAGGCAGTGCAGCTGTGCCAGAGCGCTCTGCGGGTGCCCGAGGAGGTGATGCCCACCCTGGCCATTTGTCGCACGGCGCTACGTCTGCAGCAAGACGCCAGCCAACTGCAGCACGTGGCCATCCAGCAGTGCAACATCCTACAGGTTGATAAAGTGCCTCCACAGCAATATTCAAATGGATCCACTCGGAAGAATCATAAGGAAATAACCGACAAGTAAAAGTACATGACGACAACTCTTGTCTAAACATATTTTAAAAAAACAACAAAAAAGCAAGAGTGAGATGTCGACGTTTCTGTTGCTCACTTTAGTCCCATGAGGCTATAAGGCTGTAATTTCTTTCTTTCTTTCTTTTTTTTTTTTTTGCGGACCACGTTGTAGTTATCTCAGGGGCCGACTGTAAAATGTATATAGCAAATATATACAAGAGTCAACTCATCATATCGCATGTACAAAATGGCCCCTGCGTTTTGTTGTTATGATACATAATGTTCACAAGAAATTGAATTTGAAATAGTGGCAAGGAATACCGAAAACTTGACCAAATACCACCACTGCAGTTAAAAAAAAACATCCAACTCGTACAACGGTGTCAGATAATCACAGTTGACATGCTATCAGAGATTAGGCTGAGGTGACCACCAACCAAGAAAAAACACGTTCCAGGAGGCAGTGGTGCAGTACGAGCAGTATGAACAGGAAGTGAGGGAGCTGCAGGGCTTGATCGAGGAAGCGCACCGCGTCATCCAGGACCGTCCCATCACCACCAGCAGCGTCCAGGAGCTGCAGGCGCAGATCCTTCACCATGAAGTAATTTGACCGCAACGACCCAAACAGGTCTGGCTGAAACCAACAACCAACAGCCTCTCCTTCTTATGCTTCTCTTCTTAGGAACTGGCCCAAAAGATTAAAGGCTACCAGGAGCAGATCGCCTCGCTTAACTCCAAGTGCAAAATGTTGGCGGTGAAGGCCAAGCACGCCACGCTGCTGCTGACAGTCGGTGACATGGAAGGGGGGTTGCCCGAGATGGAGGAGGAGAGAACGGCTGTGATGGTAAAGTAGAAATAATCCAATGCTAATGAATCCTAATCGTGTTATATCGATCATATTTGGTCATTGCGGATGAAGTTCATGCCGGTCTACGACTACACTCCATCAAACTGATACCCTTGCCTCATATTTTGGTTATGGCATTTACATGAAAAGGGCAAATATGTAGACATGAATAATAACAACATGAATAATTTAAGGCCTCTTTCAGACCCTTGAGGAACCCCACCTGTCAAGATGAATAGCTTAAAGTAAACATATTGATATAAGTCGTCCCAAGTACCCCTGCATCAAGTACCGAGCTTTCGGGGGTCCTTTTAAATGCCTTGCTGCGCATCCATACGGAAGAAGGAAAGTCAAACCATTGTCGGAGAACTGTAGTTGACCATACTTTCTTACACAATACCCAATGAGCCTCTTTATTTTTTTTTTGTACTCGGCAAATACTCCTGCTAATCGCAAATAAATAAATGATTAGATTAAACTAACACTATAACTCATAAAACCTCTACTTCAATGAGGTATTTCTGAAAAATATCAACAAACGGAAACAAACTAACTGAAACTAAACAACAAAAGTCAAACTCAAAGAAAATCTGACTCTCCTGAAAAATCCCAAACTATTATAACCCGGTAAGTGCTTTATAATTTTTTTAAATCATACATGCCTTTCCGTATGGTCAGATGACGGCGGGCCGCTGCCACACCCTCCTGTCGCCCGTCACCGAGGAGTCGGGCGAGGAGGGCACCATCAGCTCTGTGTCGTCTCCTCCCACGTGTCGCTCGCCCTCACCGCTCGCCCACAGCGATGTTGTCACGGCGAAGGTATTTTCCTCTGTAAATGCGCAACATTTACCAAGCTAATTGCAATTTGGTAGGCCTGTCGAGGAACAAAAAAAAAAGTCTCAAAAAGAGACACTGGCCAAAGCGGTTTAAAGTGGCCGTTGCAGCTTAGTAGCACCTTTCAAAAATTCAGGCCCCAAAGCCAGTTTTACAGGAATTTGGTGGGAATGTCGATCATGAGTCGACCCACAAAAAAGGCTCAATGCTTGAAAAGACAGGGAGCCAGTCATTTTAGATTGAAACTTAAAACAAATAATTTGGTTGCTCGCTCTTGGATTGATAAGAATCAAAGTAAGACACTTGCCTCCTCCCAGGCTGGAAGGGGAGCCCTGAAAAGAGCTCCGGTCCAAGAACTCTATGACCCGACGTTTGAGTCTGTGGCCAACCTGGACGACCTGCAGCGCTCATGGGAGACGTTGAAAAACGTGGTCGGTACACTTATAGAGCGTCTGGTATTTTCCAGTCACTTTCACATCAAGTGTGTGTGTGTGTGTGTGTGTGTGTGTGTGTGTGTGTGTGTGTGTCCTTCTGTGGACAGATCAGCGAGAAGCAGAGAAGTCTGTATGAAGCTCTGGAGAAGCAGCAGCGCTACCAGGCCTCGCTGCAGTCCATCTCATCCAAGATGGAGGCGCTGGAGGCCAAGCTGAGTGAGCCCCTGGAGGCCGACGCGTGTCCAGATAGTCACATGACAACACACCAGGTCAGCTCTTCACAACCCTCATTTGGGGATCCAATTGGTTACCGCTGGAGTACTTCGTTAGAACCCCGAGATTATGCAGGACGCTGCAGGACATGCTGCCATTCCTCTAAAATGAAGATGAAATAATATTGGCAGATCCACTTGATATTTTAGGTTATTTAAATATTGGTGAAAAAGATTACTTTTTTTTTTTTTTTTGCCAGTTATTGCCTCAACTGTAGAAAGGATTTGCAAGTTGCATCTCTTCTATTGTGCTTTGCTGTCTGCGCAGGCTGTGATCCAAGATATTCAGAGCGTGCAGGAGGACATCGACCGGCTCCAGACGAGCTTCACCGAAGACCTGAGCGCGGCCGCCGCGGACTCGGACACGGCCGACCAGCTAGCCATGCAGTCCTCCCTGGCCGTCCTCGCCGAGAGGATGGCCACCATCCACATGAAGGCTTCGGGGAAGCGGCAGCTGTTGGAGGTACGCTGTTGAGAAGCAGCCAGGCCGAATGCCGTACCATAAAAGATCCAAAGGCATGCTCCATAAACTCCGATGACCTTTTCCCACAAAGGTTAAGGAAAGGAGCTGTCAAAATCCATGTTAACTGGGAGGGCTGGCAATGAATATACTGTATTTGAAGGTCGAAAAAAACCACTGAAGCAATACACAATGACGACAAATTCCATACGTAAGTGTGGCCGAAATTCCGCCGCCGCAGGAACGCGTCATCGATCGGCTTGAAGGCCAACGCCAGGATGAGGCGATACAGTGTTATCAATTCCAAGCGGAGGAGCTGGACCGCTGGTTGGCCCGGACGCGCCGTTCCGCCGCTGCCATCCTCGAAGTCCAGGAGACGGACGCGGAAGGGCGACTCGCTTGTTGTCAGGTGAGTCGGGCCAGTCAACCGTTTTTGAGGAGGCGGGAGGCTGGTGCTGAGTCGCTAAACCAGAGTGCTCAGGCCTCCGGTTGGACATCGACTCGGCTCCCTTCTTAGCAGCACGAGCGCTGCTCTTAAGAAGATTATGTCAGCGACTCTCGCGAGTCGTCGTCTGACCACGAATAGATCCCGCTGCCTGGGTTGCCGGCAAAGCCCTCGGCACGTCCTTGAGAGCCGGGAGGACTGACGAGCCAGAAAACCGACGCACTTTTTCATTTCGCTCCACGCGTGGCTTTTCCCTGCGATCAATGCGACATGAGGGATTAGCGCCGATGTGGCAGACGAGCCCCGGCCGGAGGAGCCCGGGTCAAAGGGCAGCGAGAAAGCCCTCGCCATCCCCCGGCCAGGAATAGTCGCAGCTATTAGAGGCCCTAATGGAAACGGACTTGCGGCGGCGGCATGTTTGAGCTGGCCTCCCTCTTCCTGCTGCTGCAGAACATGCTGCTGGACATCGAGGAGAAGGTGCAGGCCCTCTCCGAGCTGTCCGTGCACGGCGAGAATCTGCTGCTGCAGGGCCGCGCCGAGAACCGGGCCGAGGCCGAGCGACTGGCCAGGAGGCTGCGGACGCTGAAGGGAGGCCTGCTGGAGCTGCAGAAGATGCTGCAGGACAAGCACGCCGGCATGCAGGTGGGTTTGCCGAGCCGCGTTTGTGCCACGCGATGCATGTTTAAAGCGCCTCGTTCAGAAACTAAGCGTGACATGTACAAACGTGAACAAAGTAAAATGAGCTTTCACACAAAATACAGCCACCAAATTGAATTCATCTGACCTTTTGTTTTTCATCAGGTCATATAATTGTACTTTTCAAGTAACTAGAAATGGGATACGGTTCATTCCATTGGCCAGGGCCCCTCAGGGTTTTGTTTTTATGTTTTTTGTGTACTCTTAAAAACAGAAGCGTTACAATGGAACCCACTGAGGGTCCCAACGGTACCGACCCAACCTCTTGGGTGATTTATTTAACCCCAAAAATTGGGTCAAATTAATAAATCACCAAACAATACAATTTGGCTTGCAAAAAAAAAAAACTTTTGGAGTTGCTTTGTGGGTTATTCATTTGGCCCAACAAAAAGTTGTGTCGATCAGACTCGGTCCCTTTGGATCTAATTTGGCTTGCTTTTGCTTTTAGGAGTGTACGTTGGCTATGTGCTGTTCATCTATTCCTATGAAAAATAACTTGATATTTTAAAAAAAAAAGTTGAGTTGAGAATCATTTTACGAGACAAAATAGCCAAAGTTAAATTAATTTGGCCAAAGCGACATTCGGTGACCTGCCATGAAACAAAAAAAAGTCATCTTGGGTGCTCCTTGATAGGACACAGAAGCGTTTCGGTCGTAAGTGTCGATGCTTGACGATACAATAAATTGTGCGTAGGGCTCCATGCAAGAGCAGGAGGACAGCGAGTCAGACTCCAGCCTCTCTCAGAGCCCCAGCGTTCAGGACTGGGTGGCCCAGGCTCGGACCACGCGCTCCCAGCAGCACCAGGACACGCTTCAGAGTCAAAGGGTAGATTTTTCAAACGCGGTGTGCACAGACACAGTCCGATTTTTTAAAGCCTTTTGTCCTTGTAGGAATTGGAGGAGCAGCTCGCCGAGCAGAAGAAGCTGCTTCAGTCGGTAGCCAGCAGAGGAGAGGAGATCCTCATCCAGCAGGCGTCACCTGCCGGCACCATGTACTGAACACCCTCTAAAAACCCCCTCAGAAAGAAATACATGTCTAATGCAGTCGATGGGAGTCCAGTGAACCATCCCTATAGGACGTCACACGTCTTTCTCATGTTTAATGCTGATTTTTGCCCTAAAAATTCGCTGTAGTGTTAACACGGACCACCCTCGACAGCCGCCCCCAAAACTTCGAGCTTTGTCCTGCGTATCACCAATTGTGACTGGAGATTTGTTTGCGTGTCTGCGGGGGCGGGGGCAGTGCTTCAGAGCCGTTTCCACTCGCCGCGCTCGCCGAGAGGGAGGCCCAAGCCGCGCGCCAGCAGATGAGGCAACGGTGGGAGAGCCTGCGGCTGGAGCTTAACACCAAAGTGCAGCTGATGCAGAAGAACCTGGAGCAGGACCACAAGCAGACGGTACAATCCGGTCGTGGAGGAAGCAAACAAATGTTGTTTTTAAAAGGCGGGGGGATCTGAGAGTTTTTTGATTTTCCCAGGTTTATTCCAGTGCTCCGTGCGCAGCACCGCTTTTAAAAGAAGAACTTCAAGCTGACGCATCATCGCTGAAGAGTCTTTATGACAGTTTCAGGCGAACGACGGAAAATTCTCAGGTTGAAATTTTGAAAATGGTTTTGTAAAAGTCCGAGCTCGGGGACTTGAGTCACACGACTTGAATTGAGTCAGACTCGACGATGGCTTGACTTCGGACACTTAAGGTACTTTAGACTTGCTTGAAACATGACATTTAAGACTTGAGACTTACTTCTTATTTGGACAAAAAATGGACTTTCTCCCACCTCTGGTACCAAAAGCATAACATCACTTCAGGTGGAACTTGCGTCTCCTGCTGTCCTTTTACAGCCCGTTGGCGACGATGAGACGCAGGCGTCCACGATGGAGCAGCAGCTCTACACGGCCGTGTCCTCCACCTCCTCCTGGCTGGACGGCGTGGAGAACGTGGTCTTGTCCGACTCGCTGCTGTTGGCTGACAACGTGGAGGCTCAGCTGGAAAAGCAGGAGGTGCGCTCATTTTCATGCAGCTGGCAATGTGGATATTTCAAGGTTCAAGGTTGCTCTCTATTCCTGAACCTTTATGCACCTCATTTCTACCACGAGAAGATGGCTAGCTCGATGCAATTCAGCCTTCTTGCTCCAATATTAGACAGGATCTGAGCTGCTATTGGATTTGTCTGCAGACGTTGGCGAGTGATCTTCATCGCGTGGCAGGCGAGGTGACGCTCAGCCAGACCTTGCTCGCCGCGTCATCTGGCTTGAGGCAAGAGGAACGGGCCTTGCTGGAGGACAATCTGGACTGTCTGAAAGAGAGACTGGGAGCTCTGGGTGGTGCTCTGGGTCAAAGCTGTGACCACATGAGGACCAGAACTCACCAACTCACAGCCTACCAGGTGGGTATTTATCCATTCATTCAAATTCAGTTATTCACATCCTGGCCATCCCTATTTACCAAAGATGTGCCCCAGGGCTCCATCCCGGGGCCCCTCCTCTTCATCGCATCGTATCATTCCCAAAACAAATCTGTTCAGAGTGCCATACACCCCGTAGCGTCTTTTTTACACTGATGATTCGTGTGCCGTATGGTTTGGCTTTGTTGTTGAACACAGACTGAACTACAGCGTCTCCAGAGTGCATTAATGGAGACTAAGTGCCAGGTCTTGCAAGTACTAGCTGAAACCACGGATCGACCAGCCTCAGAACAGCTCCAGGTAGTGCAAAAATTGAGTGTCCACATAGCCACTCACATTCCTCACATTTTTACTGATCACCCGTTTTTATGCAGGTCATTGCCAGCACAGAGGACAACCTGAAAGAATTTGAAAAGAAGATTGCGGAATTGAAAAGCAGAGGAGCGGCGCTGCAAGCGGATCAGATATCAACAGACAAAATCCTGAAGCTTCAGGTTGGATAGAAGGAGTGGGATTGCAAATGAAAGTCCCGTTGTATAGCTGCTGTTGCTTGTCAGGATGCCTACGAGGAGCTCGCGATGGCCGTGGGCTCTCGGCGCAGCGGGCTGAACCAGAACGTGGCGCTGAAACTGCAATACGAGCGCGCCCTGCAGGACCTCGCTGACTTGGTGGACACGGCCAAGGGCAAGATGGCTGCCGACCAGAGGATCGTCGCCGCTTCAGCTGATGAAGTCCAGAGTCACCTGGACAAACATAAGGTCCACCTCATAACACTTTCCTGTTCCCAGCAGAATTCAGCGAAGTAACTATTCACCTGTTTGCTGAAATTTTTGATCTGGATTTGTATGGTTGTGTCTGTATACTGTACATAGAAAATGTAAACAGCACTACAATATGGACATGGACATAAACATTCTTTTAAAAAGGGAAAAGTAGGCACAAAAACTCCTAGCCGCAAACCACACTTTCCTCCTCGGGTTCCAGCTCTTTCCTGAGAAAATGCAGAAAATAATCCCAAACTCCTATCTGAATATCTTACCGTCTTTAATCAACATTTTGAAGAGTTAAAGAGCAAAGTCCTTATCCAAATATGTGGTTGTCTTGTAGGAGTTTTTCCAGGGTCTGGAGTCGCATATGATTTTGACCGAGACCTACTATGGGAAGATTTGCGGTCTGATGCTTCCAAAAGAGAGACGCGTGTTGGAGGAGACACTGAACCAAACTCGGGGGGTCCTGCGGCAGTCGCACAGTAAAGGTGTGGAGCTGGAAGGCATTCTGGAGGTAAGACCACCTTACCACCTCACCCACAAAAGCCTGTTGCCGAACCATATCTGGATCAAACATTTTTTTCTGAATTCTATTTGTCAGACTTGGCGTCGCTTGGTGCAGGATTATCAAAGCATGGGTGGCCAGTTGGAGGCCGTTGAGGAAAGTATCCCCGCGGTGGGATTGGTGGAAGAGACGGAAGAAAAACTAATGGAGCGGATTTCACTGTATCAGGTACATCGAAAATAGAATGACAGAAACACAGTCTGCCTGCTCCCTATCTCAGCTACGCAATGGTGGGTTGTACCCAAGTAGAAATATGTCAAGTATCTGAACTTTGAGGTTTTTTTTTCCCCGGCTTTATACGCTATTGACTGTTGTTATACTTAAGTACAGACTGTGAGTACTTTTGCCATCTCTGCTAAAAGGTGACATGAGTTCCTCTTCCACTATGCCCAAAGGGTCTGAAGGGAAAGCTTACGGAGCACCAACACAAACTGCAGCAGGTGCTGGGAGAAGGCAAACGTCTGCTGCTGTCCGTCTGCTGTCCCGCCCTGGAGAATCAATTGGCAGTTCTGGGCGAACACTGGCTGGACAACACCAGCAAAGTCAACAAAGAACTGCAGCGTCTGGAGGCCATCCTCAAACACTGGACCAGGTCAGGAACCTCACCGGACCGCTCTGTGAACCCAGCACTGTGGTTCTCAAACTGGCACGGGCAGGTGTAGAATGGCAGGAATAGTCTAAGATGACTCTTAATAACAAGCGTGACAATCCAGCACCAAATGGGTTCATCGCAAAGCAGCTAACCTCAAAGTCCAAATAAAAAGTCCTTGACAATGAGAAGGGACTTCGGGCTCGGTCATGTTCTGCTACGTCAACCACAGATAGCAGAATGTACCAGAAACTCACACTTCACTGACGATTTAGCAAAACACCTAACAGCCACGGGGACAGGCAAACACGCTAAGTGAGAGAGAGAGAGACACCTCGTGGCCGCTCGCAGAAGACTGCGTTCCTTCCTGGGAGAAGGATGAGATTGAGGTTGGAAAACCCCGGACATGCAGAATAAAAATATTCAGTGTCATTTTTTTCCCCCTCAGCTATCAGAGACAGTGTGGGGAGCTTAGCGAATGGCTACAGTCTGCCCTGGAACGTCTGGAATTCTGGAACACGCAAGCGGTCCTCGTCCCGCAGGAGTTGGAAACAGTCAGAGACCACCTCTCTGCTTTTCTGGTGAGGCCGCAGATCACAAAATCTCCATCGTGCTGCCGTCTTCGCGTCTCACATGGGTTTTTGCTTGATTCCGCTCTATCGCAGGAGTTTTCCAAGGAAGCAGAGAGCAAGTCCGGCCTGAAGAGCTCTGTGGTCTCTGAGGGAAACCAACTCCTGAGGCTGAAGAAGGTGGACACAGTGGCGTTGCGCTCAGACCTGGCCCGCATTGACAACCAGTGGAATGAACTGTTGACACGCATACCGGTGGTGCAGGAAAAGCTCCATCAGGTAGCTGTCCACCACACTTGCAAATACTTTCAGGCCACAGTGGAACCTCGACTGACTCCTTAGTGAAAACTGTTTGTTAAAAAACGGTGGTGGTATTTGGGGGGAGGCTGAAATGGATTTATGGAAATACAATTCATTTCAGTGGGAATAGTGATGAAATATTCAAATCAATCCAGATCCAATAATATGCATTTTTTGCTCAGATCCAAATGGAGAAGCTGGCCTCCCGCCACGCCATCTCAGAGCTGTTTAACTGGATATCGCTGATGGAGAATGTCATCGAGGAGGATGAAGAAAACCTCAAGAGTGCAGTCGGATCACATGTGATTCAGGACTACTTGCAGAAATACAAGGTAATAGACGTGGAGAACATTTCATGGACCCACCTCAGCGGGACATAGATCTGACAGTCGTCCGGATACGAGTGGAAGGAAATACCATTTTCCTTAAGATGGAACCCAAAGGGAGCAGATAGAATTAAAACAGCAGAGGCCCCGGAATTGAACTCTGTGGAACACCACACGACAGTGACATAGATCGAAGCGGAGCCTGATCCATTGCTGGTCCCTCTCTTTGGAATGACCGTTAGGCAAGACACCTCGCTGCCCGTCTTTAAAAGTTGTCTTAAAACTCATTTTTATTCTTTGGCTTTTGACTCAGCACGAGACTTGATTTTTAGTTTGACTGTTTTTGTGCTTTCTACTGTCATTTATTGTTTGTTGTTGTCGGAATTAGTGCTCTTTTTCCTTCGAGACTCATACCCGATGTGACGCGTTGCCTTGAAAATGGTGTTCCTGATCAGGATTTGTGACCTGGAGAACATTGCAGTGGTTATATCTTTTCGTTTTTAAATCTCCCAGGGTTTCAGGGTGGATTTCAGCTGCAAGCAACTGACTGTGGACTTTGTCAACCAGTCGGTGCTGCACCTCAGCGGTCACGATGTGGAGAGCAAGCGCAGCGATAAAACCGACTTTGCGGAGCGTCTCGGCGTCATGAACAGGCGGTGGCAGATCCTCCAGGGCCGAATCAACGAGCGGGTGAGGGAGCGGAACATGAACGTGAGGGGGAGTGGCAGAATAAAAAAATGAAGTTGTATGGTTTATTTTGCAGATCCAGTTCCTGGAGAGCCTGCTGCAGATGTGGCTGGACTACGAGAGCAGCATTCAGGCCCTCAAGTCTTGGATGGGGACTCAAGAAGAGCGGCTGAAGAGGAAACACAGGATCGAGGACCTGATGTCAGTACAGAGTGCGCTCAAGGATTGCCAGGTAGCGCTTACACCTCATGTCTCGGTATTCAAACCTCCTTGAGGAGCTGTTTCTCTGTTCACACTTCAAATCAATCTTTCAGGAAATGGAGGAGCTGGTGAGAGACAAAGAAAAAGAACTGGAGCGGGTTGAGGAGCAAGGCTGTGCCCTTGTTCAGAACAAAACCGACGAGGCCTGCGCTATCGTCATGGAGACACTCCAGAGCGTCAACCACACTTGGGGCAACCTGGACCACCTTGTATGTTTCATCCAGCGGTGTTGTCATTATTATTTGATCTCCTACACCGTCGTGAACGTGATATAAATATGTCCAGATTGCTCAGCTAAAGATCAGCCTGACGTCGGTGTTGGATCAGTGGAGTCTTTACAAACGTGCATCAGAAGAGATTAACGGCTACTTGATGCAGGGGCGCTATTCCGTGTCACGCTTCCGCCTCCTGACCGGTTCCTTGGAAGCCGTTCAGCAGCAAGTGCAAAGTTTGCAGGTACGATGCGCATTTTTACGTCCTCGAACGCTCGGAGCGGATCTGTTCACCTGTGCGCCGCCTGTGCAGGGTTTGCGCGAGGAGCTGGAGAAGCAGGAGAGCAGTCTGAGGAAGTTCGCTGCCGTGACCCACCAACTGCTGAAAGAGTGTCACCCATCGGTGTCGGATTCCCTCAATCACACCCTCAAGGAGGCCAGCGCAAGGTGTCGAATATGATTTGGAGTCAAACTGCAGAAATTCAAAAACTCAGAATTGCTTTTCGAAATCCTAGAAAAAAAAAACCTGTCCCAGTGGGCAAGCAGCAAAACCATCTCTGAAAGTTCGGAGAGTGCTTTGCTGCGGCGCTGACGAGAACCCTCTTTAGACTCATTGGACAGGGGCTTTGCACTTATTAGATAAGGCCCAGAACTCGCCGCAGTCCTGAACAGGCTCCGTGTGCCCGAAGGTGGTCCGGCCTCCTGGAGGAGATATCTGAGCGCCTGAGGAGCAGCAAAGCTCTCCAGCAACTGTGGCAAGGCTACAAGGAACTTCACCAGCAGACCTCCGCCAACGTTTCGCTCCAGGAGGAGAAAGCTGAGCAGCTCCTCGAGACGCCGTGCGGCGAGGACATTGCCGACGACCACGTGTCCGCCTGGATTCAACGCTGCGGCGTGAGTGCGACTTGGCTTTGCAGTCAACAACCCACTAGGGGGGGTGATACATTTCCAAAAATCAATAGTTACCTCTTGCACACGCTTGAACTGAAATCTCCCCCGGGTTTTTTGTGGCAGGAGGTCCTGCGCTCCCACGTGCCGGTGCAGGCCTCCCTGCAGGTGCTCCGCGAGCTGGGAGATCAGCTGAAGCAGCAGGTGGACACGTCGGCCGCCTCGGTCATTCAGTCGGACCACTTGGCGCTTTCTCAGCGGCTGGCGGCGGTGGAGCAGGCGCTCAACAAGCAACTCGTCACACTGCAGGTTCGGCAAGTTTGCATCAAGTAGCAGATCATCATTGAAGTACCTCTGTGACCACGTGACAAGACCAGCCGACATCCACAGCGATTGTTTCTTCCCCGTTCCAGACCGGCGTCCACGACTATGAGATCTTTAACCAGCAGCTGGACGCTTTGGCCGGCTGGGTGGTGGAAGCCGAGGAGGCGCTGAGGGTGCACGATCCCAACGGCTCCACTGACCTGACCCTCATCCAAGAGCGCATGCAGGAGCTGAAGGTTTGCGCTACCAAGCTTGGAATGCGTCGTGCGCACGTGGGCTCATAAAGCGCCGTCTCTCGACAGCGACTGATGATGAAGTTCAGCAGCATGGCGCCGGAATTGGAGCGTCTCAACGAACTGGGTTACCGGCTCCCGCTCAACGATTCCGAGATCAAACGCATGCAGAACCTGAACAGGAGCTGGTCGGCGGCCTCGGCGCAGACGACCGAGAGATTTAGGTATGAATTCATTCGATCGGGGCCTTGGAGGTCCACAGTGATCATTTTCCATATTGCTGCAGACCAGTGTTGCCACGGTTACCTTGAAAAAGTAACTATTACTTTCCTGATTACTTGATTTTAAAGGTAACTTTTAAGCTACTTTATCAGTTGCTTTCAGTAGATGCCACATTTAAAGGCATTGAGAGCACACTCCCACAGCGCTGCAGCCCGCCCGCTCTCAGATCTGCCAGCCTGTGCCAGCCTGCACTTGTCTACGTAATAACCAACACCAGTCCGACCCGAATGTTTCTTAATCTGGCAGTCGCGCTGCATTCCTGTCGTTTCTGAACGTCTCGCCTCACATGGGCTCAAAGTAGTGAAAGGGATGCTGAAAGTGTGAGGACTTCCTTTGCCGCAGCAAGCTGCAGTCCTTCCTGCTTCAGCAGCAGACCTTCTTGGAAAAGTGTGAGACATGGATGGAGTTTTTGGTCCAAACGGAGCACAATCTGGCCGTGGAAATCTCCGGAAACTACCAAAGTTTGATGGAGCAGCAGAAGGCCCACGAGGTTTGGGAGGGTTGGGGCGGGCTTTGTCCGACTCGCTACAGAGCGTCGATTTGTTTACTCATCGACGCTTTGTTGTCTTGCAGTTGTTCCAGGCCGAGATGTTCAGTCGCCAGCAGATTCTCCACTCCATCATCAGCGACGGCCAAAGGATGCTGGAACAGGGTCAAGTGGACGACAGGTACCACTTGACAGCCCTTGAGTCCATTGTACTTGTGGCACAAAAGTTTGCCCACCTCTAATCTCAAGCATAATGGATGAGTTAAATAATGTTCCAGAAAGGGAAGCCGTTGTTATTTTATTTGTCAAAAGAAAATATCTTGACACACATTTTTATTTATTGACCTCATCTACAAAACGGCGCGGCCCATCTGTCCACTGCTGTACTTTGTTGGACCTTGTAGGAAGGAGTTCAATCTAAAGTTGGCCCTGCTGAGCAACCAGTGGCAGGGCGTGGTGCGGCGCGCCCAGCAGAGGCGAGGCATCATCGACGGCCTGCTGCGCCAGTGGCAGCGCTACCGCGAGATGGTGGACAAGCTTCGCAAGTGGCTTCTGGACGTCTCCCAACCGGCCGAGGGGCTCCGGCCCGGCGCCACCGTTCCTCTGCAGCAAGCTCGCGCCATGCTGGACGCCATCCAGGTCGCTAACTAATAGCGTGTGCATGCACACACGTAGCAAAAACTTTCAAAAAGGACCCGAGCTAAAAGTAGGTTCTCCTTAGCATACGCGATCCGAGATGCATCAACACAGCATATTCCTTTCACTAATTTCCCCATCAGTCAAGACTTTGGCGCCTACTTGTGGCCTCTCAGAGCATTACAGAAAGAGCACGAAAATATGCAGAGAACTGAGAAAAGGTCCATTTATGGAGCGCCAAATAGCTGGGAATAGTTTCCGCTGACCAAAAAAAAGAAAAAAAAAACAATTCCACGAGGTGAATCTGTGAATAAAAGGACACCCTCAAAAGTTTTACACTGTACGACAATTGCCGAAAGATGCCACAAAATGGCGGCTTTTGTCTCAATGAAGCTCCTCAATTCACTGACGTCCACAATTCACCTTGACGAATGTGTGTTTTGTCCCCCACCCCCGACCCAGCTGAAGGAGAAAGTGCTGCAGCGCCAGCAGGGCAGCTACATCCTGACGGTGGAGGCCGGCAGACAACTGCTGCTGTCGGCCGACAGCCTGGCTGAGGTGGCCCTGCAGGCCGAGCTGACCGACATCCAGCAGCGGTGGAAGCGGGCCAGCGGACGCCTGGAAGAAATGAGGAGGCAGCTCGCCACCTTGTTGAAGGTGCAACAACACTGGCGGGGAACTCTTAAGTCGGCTGCGATAGACTGCATCTCACCTGCGATGAAACGCCAAGCAGCATTGGAAAATGCGGTTAAAATATGGAGAACTTGTTCCCCTCCTCGCTTTGTGTCATAACAGGACTGGGACCGGTGTGACAAAGGGATCGGCGCATCTCTGGAGAAGCTTCGGGCCTTCAAACGACAACTCGCTCAGCCTCTTCCCGATCATCACGATGACCTGCAGGCGCAGCAGATGCGCTGCAAGGTACACTGGATCCTGTCTATGTTCGAACTGAGTGTGGGTCCACATTTAAAACATTTTTTTTGTAGGACTTGGAAGGCGCCATCGAAGGCTGGACTGGAGATCTGGCCCACCTGACTGTCCTGAGGGAGTCGCTGTCATGCTACATCGCTGCCGAGGACCTTTGTGTGCTGCAGGAGCGCATCGAACTGCTGCAGCGCATGTGGGAGGAAATCTGCCACCAGGTGACGGATGCGGCTGCACCACTTTTGTCGCTGTCGTGATAAGAACGAGAGGAGTCAAAAGAAGTCGAGGCAGTGATCAACATTTTGAAGATTTTGTGAATCGGCGGAAGGAGTAGAAAAGCGATGGCTCGGGTTTCAAACATTGATCGACTTCTAAGTCTCCGTCCGATATAGTTAACCTCTCACCAATTGCTTTTATCATATATTGTTTTTGGTTTAAAGAAACGTGGTAGATACCCTGTCGATTTCCTGTCGCAATGTTGATGAAACGGCTGCACTGAGACCTCATGCGCTGCATCCTGTTTGAGCGACACAACAGAGGGACAGGAAACACACAAAACCACCCGGACCACTCTCACCACTTGCGTCTTGACTTGACTTTGCCGATGTCTTTCTATCTTCGCAGCTATCCCTGCGCGGGCAGCAGGTGGCTGACAAGCTGAACGAGTGGAGCATATTTAGTGACAAGTACAAGGAGCTGTGCGAGTGGCTCACCGGCATGGAGAGCAAGGTGTCGCAAAACGGCGACGTCAGCATCGAGGAGATGATCGAGAGGCTGCGGAAGGTAAGGAGCGCACATTTTGGGAGCGTCGTAATCTTCTGTTTGAATGTCCTTAAGATGGAAGTCTGCAGGTTGACTTAGCCAGTTTGAAACAAAAAGCAAAGTTAGTTCTAAGTTGTTGAACACGCAGGACTTTTCATGTTAGCCGTGAGTCCCACTCGTATGGTGTTCCACAAGGGTCAATATTGGGGCCCCTCGTGTTTTCATTGTATTTGTTTCCCCTGGGTTCCATCTTACATCTGATTTTTACTTAATGTACAGTACTTTGTAAGCAGCCCTGGTTGTTTTTAAAGTGCTCCATGAATAAAGTTGCATGCATCCTGTTTCCGTCGGGCATTTTATTTGCATTAGAGTCAATAATGTAAATGTATTTTGGGGGTGAGGGGACAGAGGTGGGGAATCTCAAACTCCTGTTGGCACTTGTCGAAAAATAAAAACCGAAAATTTTTGCTTTTAATGTTGATGGTATGTTGTTGTCAGGACTACCGCGAGGAGATCTCCATAGCTGAGAAGAACAAGCTGCAGCTCCACCAGCTGGGAGAGCGCCTGGCTCGGGCCAGCCACCCGAGCAAAGCTGGCGAAATCCAGAACAAGCTCACCAAAGTCAACGACCGCTGGCAGCACCTCCTGGATCTCATCGGAGCCCGGTTAGGAGACGGACGAGACACTTTCATCTGAATCGTAAAGCTCTATTTTCAATCACCAGGGTGTGTCAACTTTGTTGCCGGCAGGGTGAAGAAGCTGAGGGAAACCCTGGTGGCCGTGCAGCAGCTGGACAAGAACATGAGCAGCCTGCGTACCTGGCTGGCCCACATCGAGACCGAGCTGTCCCAGCCCATCGCCTACGACTCCTGCGACTTCCAAGACATTCAGCGGAAGCTCGACCAACAGCAGGTGATGCTCCATTTTAGCCGGCGGAATCCATCTTAACTCGGCACCACACAGTGATAGGAAAATTGCAAAGTACTTCTAATTTGTTACAGTACGTTTTTTTTTTTTTTTTTTTTTAAAGGAGCTTCAGAGCGACATCGAGAAGCACAGCACCGGCGTGGCGTCAGTGCTGAACCTCTGTGAGGTTCTGCTGCACGACTGCGACGCCTGCGCCACCGATGCCGAGTGCGACTCCATCCAGCAGGCCACGCGCAGTCTGGACCGCCGATGGAGGAGTATCTGCGCTTCCTCCATGGAAAGGAGGCTCAAGTAGGGCCTTACCTTTGACTTGCAAACCTCGCATGTCGCTATTCTCCTTTTCCCGCTCCACCTCATGTGACTGCCGGCCCCCCGCCTGTCATACTTTACTAAACCACATGTTGGCTTCCAGGATTGAGGAAACGTGGCGTTTGTGGCAGAAATTCCTGGAAGACTTTGCGCATTTTGAGGAGTGGCTCGCCGCCTCCGAGAAGACGGCGGCGCTGCCCAACTCCTCCGGTGTTTTGTACACGGAAGCCAAGGAGGAACTCAAGAAATTTGAGGTACACCATTTATTATAATGTCATCATTTATCAGAAAGGGAAATAGTCCTCATTTCAGTAATGTGAAACAATTACAAGAATGACTGTTATTTGATCCAAAAAGTCATTTCATGAGCAAAGAGATGGAGTTTTATAAGACAATATCATATTTTTACAAGGGTATCTGTCATGATAAGAAAGAACAAAGGAGCAGCAATGCAAACAAGAATAAAGTCCTCATGACATCGTTTGACGTCCGAGGTTTGCCCTGCCGCATGTCCGCAGACTTTCCAGAGGCAGGTCCACGAAAGCCTGACGCAGCTGGAATTGCTGAACAAGCAGTATCGCCGCCTGGCCAGAGAAAACCGCACGGACGCTTGCAGTGGCCTCAAGGAGATGGCGCACGGCGCCAACCAGCGCTGGGACAACCTGCAGAAGAGGGTGGCAGCCATCCTCCGCCGCCTCAAGGTCCCCGCTGTTACGTGTCTTATGTACAACTTACAAGGGGAAGTGTGCAAGCCCTTTGAAATGACCTGGGGTTCATGAAAAATTGTTAATGGAATGTGACCTGTTCATCATTTAGCCGCAAGGTGACAGAAATGAACGTTTGGATTTGCGTCCAGGCCCTGAGTGAGCCATGCAGTCCTCACTCATTCCAAAGGGCTTACATATTCTTTTTTGCAACTGCGTGTGTTTGTATTATGACAAGGTGTGTTCTTCCCGCCTGTGCAGCACTTCATCAGTCAGAGGGAGGAGTTTGAGACGGCGAGGGACAGCATTCTGGTGTGGCTGACCGAGATGGACCTGCAGCTCACCAACATTGAGCACTTCTCCGAGTGCGACATCCAGGCCAAGATCAAACAGCTCCGGGTGAGAGAAACCTCCGGCTGCTGCAACTCAATCCTACCCACGATGTTCGCTTTCATTGATAAATCCAGATGTGACCGGTGCTTGCAACAAATTGGGTTTTTGTTTTCAACAAAAATTAAATGAAATACTCTACATTGAAATATGAAGAAAAAAATACCGCGTATTGGGCTTTCCACACGCAGTTAGCGAGGCTTTTTTATCGCCCCGCAGTCGTTCCAGCAGGAGATCTCACTGACCACGGCCAAGATCGAGGGCATCTTCCACCAAGGCGAGGCGCTGATCGAGAAGAGCGAGCCGCTGGATGCCGCCGTCATCGAGGAGGAGCTCGAGGAGCTGCAGCGCTACTGCCAGGAGGTCTTCGGCCGGGTCGAGCGATACTACAAGAAGCTCATCCGGCTACCCGTAAGACCTCAAACACATCTGACGGAAAAGTACAGTAGACCAAAGATGGGCAAATTAAATGCTAGAGAATTATTTTTTTATTTTGGGGGGGGTGCATGAATAAAAGATCCACTATGCTCCTAATCCAACAAACAAAATAACCGCATACTGTAATTATTATTATTATTTTTTTTTTTTACCCCTATTTTTCACTTACATAGAAAGAAGCATTCAAGGACGGCACAAAATTGCCAAACGAGCACCTAACATTAAGTGCAAGAACTTTCACAAAAATCATCTCAGTTTGAATTTTAATATCATCGAAGTACTATATTTGTCCTGAATATCATTCCAAATTGGCAAAAAAAAAAAAATATGAGGCCAATTCATTTTGTATTGTAGGGCAGTAAAAGACCCAATCGAAGCGCGACGAAGACGTGTCTGCCATCTAGTGGTGACTAAAAACAACAGCCAATTGGGTATCTGCGGATTTGGAGATGGTTGTTTTTGTTGTTTTTTTTCCTGATTGAATGTTTATCGAATTCCCCTTCAGCTGGCTGAGGACGATGCCGAAGCGTCTCTCTCGGACCGCGAGCTGGAGCTGGACGAGGCCGCCGACCTGTCGGGCGACCTGTCGGGCCTGCCACCGTGGAGCGAGCGTCTGGGCGACGGCTTCCTGTCGCCGCTGCCTTCCTCGGGGCGCTCGGCGGCCTCGCTGGCGGCGCAGCTGCGGACCGAGCGCTCGGGCCGGGACACGCCGGCCAGCGTGGACTCCATCCCGCTGGAGTGGGACCACGACTACGACCTGAGCCGCGGCCTGGAGAGCGCCAGTCGGACCCTCAGGGAGCAGCAGAGCGAGGAGGCGGACTTCCTGCAGCCGCCTGCCTCCGCCTTGGCGGGTCAGTACTCAAGCCCGATGTTCTCAACCAGTTTCCTGCCGATGTTCCTCGCAGGTGCGCGTAGTTGTTGCGAAATGTCGATTTCACAGTGGGACGACTCCAATTGATTGCAAGCCTCGGTAAAACGATGACTGAAAATTGTTCATTGAGTTCGCCAACAAGTTTTTATTGGCAAACATGATGTAAACGTTTGTTCTTCTACAGTTGAACCATGTGTCGTTTTAAAAAGTCAAAAGCTGAAGAAATATTTTCCATGACATCATACTTGATTGATTAATCACATTTTCCATCATGGAACTCCAATTAATTCTTTCCAGAAACTCAAAGCTCTTAACAAAAATAATTCATGGGGTGGGGGGAAATTATACAGATAGTTTTACATGCAGAAACCAAAAGTCTACACACCCTTGTCCTCTAATGGCTCTCCAAGACTGGACGTGGGCACCCGTGATCTAAAACAAGCAGGGTACCGTCCCCAAGGACTGGACTTTAACACCTATTTCTTCTTTACACATAACTCACATTTATTGTGCAATAATCTCGTTGTAACATGTATTTTGTTACATATTTTGAGGCATTTTTATGCTTTAGAAAACATTTATGTCGGAATTTTGAGGGGGTTGGAACGGATTAGGGCTTTTACATGGAAAACGCGTCTCTACTGACAACATTTTCTAGTCAAGAAATTTCTTCCAGAACATATTAAATTTTTGTAAGTCGAGGACTATCACACTGATGATGGAGAGCCCTCAAAAAGTCAAGTATCACATACGACACGTTTGGCGTCGTCGTTTCAGGATCCAGACCGCAGATGGGAGCGTAGTGGCCTTTGCCGAGCCCCCACAGCGTTGTACTTGCCCCCCCCCCCAGCAAAACGGCGGGAGGGTCAGTGGTGTAAAATGGCCGGTGGTGAATATGTGTGTGCTTCCCAATGTGTCTTCCAGATGTAGTGATCCCAGAGAACCCGGAAGCCTTTGTTAAACTAACCGAGAAAACACTGAGGTGCTCCGCTGGTAGGCAACGTGCTAACGAAGCCAGCATGCCTCCGGGATTTCCAAACTCTGTGGCACCTGTGGCCTTCGAGCTTTCACCACTTTTGGATTTGTGTTCATTTGCACTTTTTGGTCATGGGTAGCGACACTTTTCTAGCACCGGGGAGGGCTCCATTCCATTTCTTTTTGGTCGACGCAAGTCCCGAAAAAAATCAAATCGAATAAAAAAGACCGAACAGAAATGGAGCCGAGTCCAGCACCTTTGTTTCTCACTTTGTTTTGTGCTGTGTGGCTGTAGACCTTTTCACCAAGGGTGGCAAAAGCGCAAGCATTCTTCGAGACGACGTTCGGATGCAGCTCAAAATGCCGATTTCGTTCACCTCAGAGTTATTCCCGCGTTCTGAAAATTCGGCGTAAACGGCCTGTCGCAAACAGATGTCATTTCCGCTTGTTACTTTCGCCGTTGAGACAGAAAATAACACCTTGAAATGGAGAGCGCACTCCAGAGCTCACGTTCGCTAACCGGCTCGCTGTTACGTTTTGACTCAAATGAAACCCGAGCCAGCATTTTAGTCACACCTCTGTGAGGCTTTTTACGACCGCCACTCGACTTCTCAAGTCAGCGCTCGTCAATCATATTTCCGCCACCCAGAAGGAGGCCCGCCACCCGTTGTTTCCGTTCACCATGAAAAGGTCTATCAAACCTCTTTGCATGTTGTGCTGCCTCTTCGATGGGCGAAGGGGATGGCAAGTTAAGCGTCACGTGATCCGCGCACAGGCGGCTGACGGGAAAGTGTCTGGACGGAAAACGGCACACGTAGTGCCGGTGTCGGCGTGATGACGAGCAGCGTGTGTGAACGTTGTGTGTCCGCAGGGGAAGCGGCCTCGTCTGGCCCGCTGCCGCCGGCCGACGGCAGCCGCACGCGCGCCGCCGCCGCTGTTGACCTCGATGCCTCCTACATGGGATATGTACGTTTGAATTTTCTTCACCTAAATAGTCAGCATGTTTGCGTTATTCTATTGTTTTTGTGTTTTGTTTCTTATTTGGGTTATTGTATTTATTATTGAATGAAACAATCAATGCTTGTGGAGGCTCTCAGTCGTACAGGAAAGTTCCATCGTAGAAAGGGGTCTGTCAGTCGTCATCTGTACCCT